TACATTAGTACGGCGGGTTCGTCAATAATGCCCGGGTGGTTCTCTGCGTGACGGTTCTTCCAAAACACGCCACCTAGGCCGGTCAAAATTTTTGGACCGGGTCAAAATTTACGGCCCTGCCATACTTTAGTACGGCGGGTTCGTTAATAATGCCCGGGTGGTTCTCTGCGTAATGGTTCTTCCAAAACACGCCACCTGGACCGGTCAAAATTTCCGGACCAAGTCCAAATTTACGCCCCCGCCATACATTAGTACGGCGGGTTCGTCAATAATGCCCGGGTGGTTCTCTGCGTGACGGTTCTTCCAAAACACGCCACCTGGGCCGGTCAAAATTTTTAGACCGGGTCAAAATTTACGGCCCTGCCATCCTTTAGTACGGCATGTTCGTCAATAATGCCTGAGTGGTCCTCTGTGTGACGGTTCTTCCAAAACACGCCACCTAGGCCGGTCAGAATTTTCAGTTCGAGTCAAAATTTACGGCCCTGCCATATTTTAGGGCGGCGGGTTCGTTAATAATGCCCGGGTGGTTCTCTGCGTGACGGTTCTTCCAAAACACGCCACCTAGGCCGGTCAAAATTTTTGGACCGGGTCAAAATTTACGGCCCTGCCATACTTTAGTACGGCGGGTTCGTTAATAATGCCCGGGTGGTTCTCTGCGTGACGGTTCTTTAAAACACGCCACCTGGACCGGTCACAATTTCCGGACCGGGTCAGAATTTACGCCCCGCCATACATTAGTACGGCAGGTTCGTCAATAATGCCCGCGTGGTTCTCTGCGTGACGGTTCTTCCAAAACACGCCACCTGGGCCGGTCAAAACTTCGGGACCGGGTCAAATTTACGGCCCTGCCATACATTAGTACGGCGGGTTCGTCAATAATGCCCGGTGGTTCTCTGCGTGACGGTTCTTCCAAAACACGCCACCTAGGCCGGTCAAAATTTTGGACCGGGTCAAAATTACGGCCCTGCCATACTTTAGTACGGCGGGTTCGTTAATAATGCCCGGGTGGTTCTCTGCGTAATGGTTCTTCCAAAACACGCCACCTGGACCGGTCAAAATTTCCGGACCAAGTCCAATTTACGCCCCGCCATACATTAGTACGGCGGGTTCGTCAATAATGCCCGGGTGGTTCTCTGCGTGACGGTTCTTCCAAAACACGCCACCTGGGCCGGTCAAAATTTTTAGACCGGGTCAAAATTTACGGCCCTGCCATCCTTTAGTACGGCATGTTCGTCAATAATGCCTGAGTGGTCCTCTGTGTGACGGTTCTTCCAAAACACGCCACCTAGGCCGGTCAGAATTTTCAGTTCGAGTCAAAATTTACGGCCCTGCCATATTTTAGGGCGGCGGGTTCGTTAATAATGCCCGGATGGTTCTCTGCGTGACGGTTCTTCCAAAACACGCCACCTAGGCCGGTCAAAATTTTGGACCGGGTCAAATTTACGGCCCTGCCATACTTTAGTACGGCGGGTTCGTTAATAATGCCCGGTGGTTCTCTGCGTGACGGTTCTTTTAAAACACGCCACCTGGACCGGTCACAATTTCCGGACCGGGTCAAAATTTACGCCCCCGCCATACATTAGTACGGCAGGTTCGTCAATAATGCCCGCGTGGTTTTCTGCGTGACGGTTCTTCCAAAACACGCCACCTGGGCCGGTCAAAACTTCGGGACTGGGTCAAAATTTACGGCCCTGCCATACATTAGTACGGCGGGTTCGTCAATAATGCCCGGGTGGTTCTCTGCGTGACGGTTCTTCCAAACACGCCACCTGGGCCGGTCAAAACTTCGGGACCGGGTCAAAATTTACGGCCCTGCCATACATTAGTACGGCGGGTTCGTCAATAATGCCCGGATGGTTCTCTGCTTGACGGTTCTTCCAAAACACCCCACCTGGACCGGTCAAAATTTCCGGACCGGGTCAAAATTTACGGACCTGCCATACTTTAGTACGGCGGGTTCGTCAGTAATGCCCGGGTGGTTCTCTGCTTGACGGTTCTTCCAAAATACGCCACCTGGGCCGGTCAAAACTTTGGGACCGGGTCAAAATTTACGCCCCCGCCATACATTCGTACGGCGGGTTCGTCAATAATGCCCGGGTGGTTCTCCGTGTGACGGTTCTTCCAAAACACGCCACCTGGGCCGGTCAAAATTTTAGACCGAGTCAAAATTTACGGCCCTGCCAGGTTCTTCCAAACACGCCACCTGGGCCGGTCAAACTTTTCGGACCGGGTCAAAATTTACGGCCCTGCCATACATTAGTACATTAGTAAGGCGGGTTCGTCAATAATGCCCGGGTAGTTCTCTGCGTGACGGTTCTTCCAAAACACGCCACCTGGACTGGTCACAATTTCCGGACCGGGTCAAAATTTACGGCCCTGCCATCCTTTAGTACGGCGGGTTCGTCAATAATGCCCGGGTGGTCCACTGCGTGACGGTTCTTCCAAAACACGCCACCTGGGCCGGTCAAAATTTTTAGACCGAGTCAAAATTTACGGCCCTGCCATACTTTAGTACGGCGGGTTCGTTAATAATGCCCGGGTGGTTCTCTGCGTGACGGTTCTTCCAAAACACGCCACCTGGACCGATCACAATTTCCGGACCGGGTCAAAATTTACGCCCCCGCCATACATTAGTACGGCGGGTTCGTCAATAATGCCCGGGTATTTCTCTGCGTGACGGTTCTTTTAAAACACGCCACCTGGGCCGGTCAAAACTTTGGGACCGGGTCAAAATTTACGGCCCTGCCATACTTTAGTACGGCGGGTTCGTCAATAATGCCCGGGTGGTTCTCTGCGTAATGGTTCTTCCAAAACACGCCACCTGGACCGGTCAAAATTTCCGGACCAAGTCCAAATTTACGCCCCCGCCATACATTAGTACGGCGGGTTCGTCAATAGTGCCCGGGTGGTTCTCTGCGTGACGGTTCTACCAAAACACGCCACCTGGGCCGGTCAAAATTTTTAGACCGGGTCAAAATTTACGGCCCTGCCATCCTTTAGTACGGCATGTTCGTCAATAATGCCTGAGTGGTCCTCTGTGTGACGGTTCTTCCAAAACACGCCACCTAGGCCGGTCAAAATTTTTAGTTCGAGTCAAAATTTACGGCCCTGCCATATTTTAGTGCGGCGGGTTCGTTAATAATGCCCGGATGGTTCTCTGCGTGACGGTTCTTTCAAAACACGCCACCTGGGCCGGTCAAAATTTTTGGACGTGGTCAAAATTTACGGCCCTGCCATACATTAGTACGGCGGGTTCGTCAATAATGCCCGGGTGGTTCTCCGTGTGACGGTTCTTCCAAAACACGCCACCTGGGCCGGTCAAAAATTTTAGACCGAGTCAAAATTTACGGCCCTGCCAGGTTCTTCCAAAACACGCCACCTGGGCCGGTCAAACTTTTCGGACCGGGTCAAAATTTACGGCCCTGCCATACATTAGTACATTAGTAAGGCGGGTTCGTCAATAATGCCCGGGTAGTTCTCTGCGTGACGGTTCTTCCAAAACACGCCACCTGGACTGGTCACAATTTCCGGACCGGGTCAAAATTTACGGCCCTGCCATCCTTTAGTACGGCGGGTTCGTCAATAATGCCCGGGTGGTCCACTGCGTGACGGTTCTTCCAAAACACGCCACCTGGGCCGGTCAAAATTTTTAGACCGAGTCAAAATTTACGGCCCTGCCATACTTTAGTACGGCGGGTTCGTTAATAATGCCCGGGTGGTTCTCTGCGTGACGGTTCTTCCAAAACACGGCACCTGGACCGATCACAATTTCCGGACCGGGTCAAAATTTACGGCCCTGCCATACTTTAGTACGGCGGGTTCGTCAGTAATGCCCGGGTGGTTCTCTGCTTGACGGTTCTTCCAAAATACGCCACCTGGGCCGGTCAAAACTTTGGGACCGGGTCAAAATTTACGGCCCTGCCATACATTAGTACATTAGTACGGCGGGTTCGTCAATAATGCCCGGATGGTTCTCTGCTTGACGGTTCTTCCAAAACACCCCACCTGGACCGGTGAAAATTTCCGGACCGGGTCAAAATTTACGCCCCCGCCATACATTCGTACGGCGGGTTCGTCAATAATGCCCGGGTGGTTCTCCGTGTGACGGTTCTTCCAAAACACTACGCCTGGGCCGGTAAGTACTGATAAATTTTGTTGTACCTTCTCAATTGTTTCAGCGGGGGGCTGCGCCCCCCGCACCCCCTGCTTATTGGGGCTCCGCCCCAAACCCCGGCCAGGGGCTTCGCCCCTGGACCCCGGGGACCCAGCTCTTCGCGTGACGCACTACAACTTAAAAACGCTCGCTCGCTCGCTTGATTACTGCACTTTAACCTTTCTAAACACGATGCTGGGTAAACATTAGTTTTAACAGCTCCACAGAATAAAGGGCCGCCCGATGGAATTTGGCGACGGCTTCACGCTTTAAGGAGTGCGTGTAGATTTTGTAACCAGTTCCTTGAGGACATGCAGGAGCTGCGATAATGTGATCACGGAAGTTTGCGGACAGTTGGCTGTCATCAGACAACAGTTGTTCGATGATGACAACTAATCGTCCGGATATTTCCGTAGCCACATTATCGATCCATCGTTGCGGTACGACGGGTACGTGGCATACGTTCCCTCCAAATAACTGGACAAACCTTTCCGCAAAACGTTTAAGTATAGTATGTATACCGGTTACAAAACCGGTAACACCGGACCGACAAATGCCCATTCTTCGCCGCTTTCGATATCGTCATTAGTCCAGATCTAGAGGTACCAGATCTTCACCAGGACGGATGGATGGTAAAATTTGCATTTAGAAGGCCTTGGTGGAGTGTGCATTTGCTTTTGGCCAGTGTTATTATAGTGAGAGTCAAACCGAAAAGTCCGAACAGCTGATTCGAATCGTTATTGAAATTATTGTTTTTTCGAGACAACGTCGTGTCGAAAAATTTTCGTACGAACTGATCGAATACTCTATAAGAATATGACAGAGTTTGCTTCTGACTTCTCGTTTTGGTACGACGATCGCGCCGCTTCGCAGCAAAGTCAAAGCAGAACAAAAATTCTTCCTGCATTGCAGCGTTACGTCATTTGATTATATCAGCTCCGTGACCTCCGTCACAAAATACTCCGGTTTTACCATCATTATAAATAAAATTCTAAGCGTCAAACTTATTAATCTCATCAATGTGCTTCCGGTTAGCGAACAAATGATGTTGACGATGATTTTATCTTCAACGGGTAGTTCTTAGTTCGTGCCCAGCGTCTCCGAATAAATAAACAAAAGCAGCAATTTCTTCAAATTAAGTTAGGAAGCTTCGTTTGAAATTAAAGGTATATCTAAATTTATACAGAAAGAACGCGTAGCGGGGGATTTTGGTTGCAGCTGTAGCGTACGTAAGGCGTACACCGTGAGTTTGCTGAGTGTCGCCAACGGCGGTTTAATTTCCGTCCACTCATCCAGTCTCACATGGGGATACTGATTACCAGCACGGGGATCCATTCTTTGGAATTCCTGTAATATCTAGAAGCAAATGGCACGCGGTTAGTATAGAATAATGTGAAGGAATAAAGAATCGGGGGATGTGTAGTTGGGTGCGCGGTTTCAGCGTAAAGAGAACTTCGGCGTCCATCGTAATAAAGACTGCAGTAATTATCTGACGGCAGTAACTTGTAATTTTTTACGTGGCTCTGTGCTTCGAAAATAGTTGGTAGCCGTATGGGTATATCCAAATGTTCGTTTATGAGTTACAATTTGACGGAAGGGTCCAAGTTTTTCAGGCGACGGTAAAACCATGCCTGTGACTATTACATGTATCCTTACAATGGGAATTGCGCCACTTCTGTTGCGGTCGTCAGCATCGCTCCATTGATCACGAAGCACAGACGTTGCATCTGTTTGCAAGCATTCCTCCATCCAGTTCGAGAGCGACTGGACCTGCGAGGCCTTCAGCGAGGGACAACTGCTTTCTAGCAAATTCCACCAATCCTCAATGGTCAAGCCTCGACCACGGATGCGGCCATCGCGAATTCTCAATCGCAGAATACACCGCGTGAATTCCGGTTTATAATCTTCGCACGCTGGAAAGCACGGCTTACTGTACGAGTAGAACAAGTCGATCATGTGGATATCCTTGATAAGCAGAGTATGGCATACAGCGGCCAGTACGGACAGGCTGAGGCATGCCGTCATCACAAAATCTCGGCGACCCGATGTGGTCCGCGGACGACTGGGCGCCGACCAGTTCCATGCGACCCCGCTCAGTATCAGCGTCTCTGCGCACCGATGACCGCCTCTCTCCATGATTTGGCGGAGTAATGGCCCGGATAAGATGGTCGTGTCGGATGGAGAACGCGAAGCACTACAGCCAGCAAATATAATTATGGGTCGCCAGCAGGCATGCAGGCAAGCTATGTTTGAATAGCGATGACTAGGATCGTCTGTCGACCCGGTGAAAAGGAGGAACCGTTGAAGGGGAGATGACGTCAGAAGGCTGTTCCAACCGCTGTACACAGAGCGAAGCCGGCTTTGTGCAGTGGTCTCTATACAAATAAATACTTCCATCATAACTTCAGCCGGAAGGTTCTGGATTTTGACACGAGACAAGAGCAACTGCTTTCCATTATTCTGGGCGTCTTGTTGCGGCGATCGCGAATTATTCGGAAGGTTCAGCTTGCGCCAGGATTGTATCTGCCAAAATATTGTAAGTGCAAAATAATTACAAAACCAATATTGCATCCTGCGTTCGGTATATAATCACAAGACCGTCTGTGGGCTTCCACGGCGTCCATGCTCCATGATTTCAAATACCAAAAAGCTCTTAAACACATACTGAATCTGTGTACCATAATACTCAGAAAAATAGGACATTGCAAAAGCATCGCCCAGTCCCCTCTCAGTTTCGAATGTTCGTACATAACAACAAATTTTGCGCGAGACACTTCGAGACATATGGAAGGGAAGTGACCCTGTACATGCCTACATGGTACCAAATACGTGAGCATCGAAACGTCGCCGTTACATTTGCGGTGTACAAATACTGTTTCACGTCGGGTAGTGAGCCAGGTTTTTCGTTTCCGTGGACAAACCAGTACCATTAGTCAATCGTATCTCTGGTATCATAAATTAAAGCATGTTTAACTTACTGTATTCCGCATCCCAAGCATTCGCAATTTAAAGCGCAGCTCGGTCTTTTCGAAAGGGGAAGCAACGGGGCGGGTTGTGGAAACCGGTGAACGAACACGCTCCTTTGGGAGGACAAAAAGGTTTGAGGTACCGTTAAGGTAAGCTGTAACCATGACAAAACAGCATGCATCGGCAAATCCTGTGAAGTTCAGCATAATCATCATGCCGGGGTGCCATTTCCACGGTTCGTCCACATTCAGACGCAGGAACGCTTCCACCGGGTATTCATCTTCAGGGCCCATGACTAAACCTTGGTGCCAATTGCCAAATTATGTGTACTTATTTATTTTTTTGTAACAGTTATTACATAGAGGCTTCATGCAATCGGAGCCAGATAACTGCAAATTTTGCAATGACATTAGAAAACAAGCTCGAACGATCATAGCTGCTATGTTTAGTAAACTGGGCGGTTTTCCAAATTCCGTGGCAGGAAATTTATACAAAGTATCAAAGCAGTAAGCACACGCTGCTTCAGGAAGCTTGGCTCTACAGGGTGTAGCTTACCAGTGAAACGACTGTTGGGACGACGGAAACGTTCTCCGGCGTGGCGCCAGTGGCAAATATCAAAGCGTGCATCAAACGGAATGCATTTGATCATCGGTATGCGCGGGGATCCAAAATCCACAAGAAATCCAGGATTCTGTGAAATCTGACGCACACCGACAGCTGTTCCGTAATGCCACAGCCCATACTCCATTTGGACATGCACGGCAAATCGCTCCGAATTGCGATTCATTTTAGTCGAATCAGTGGCCTCATACTAATTCTTCTAAACAGCATCAATAAAGGGCTCAGCTACCACAAATTTTATTTACAGACTACAGATAAAAAAATTTCACCCCATCCGCACATCAGAAAGCTGAAATGAGAATTCGATGAGAAGACGAAAGACATGTATTACGGATTAAACGTCACTGTTTCAAAATAAACGCCAATTGTATTCAGTGCTTTACGCTAAGCCAGGATGCCAGTAAAGGTGTTTTGCAGTAATATGCGCAACTACGAGTACAAGCGTAGAGATATAATCAGACATTCGATGATACCCAAATCATGTGCGCTAGTGCCGGCAGGCATGCGGACCGGTTTATGGTCTGCATATTGTCAGTGACTCACAGTTTTAATGCGAATGTGCGCAGAATCAGCACAGCGATTACGGGTAGAGGTAACAGTGGTTCTGATAGATGTTTCTCATTGAAGCAGCTAATATGCTTGTAAGTTATAAGTTATACGTAGTGCGATATTAGAAAATATGTAAATACCAGAATGCAAGAATTTAAACCCTTGAAACAACCTTTATCAGCATAAGCCAGTTAGTTACCTTAACCCCAAGCCATTTAAACCCTTGAAACTTCATACTTCTACTCAGCAAACTTAATAATTTATTGAAACATAAGGAGTTGAAGAGTGATTTCAAATGTGCAGCAGTCGCTTTGTTCGCACCATACATGAAAGTAAGATGTCTCTCTTTATTGGGCAAAAGCCATCAATACTGTAAAACAAAAAGTGCGTTCGCGAAATACTACACAAAATGATTTAAAATTAAACGTTAAAACCACAACCAAAATCGTTTAGGTCTGTCAGTCTTTTCAGGACGCATACCGAAAGTGCCCAAAACAGCAGCATTTCCTTTCACAACAGCTAGACTTAATCTCTGCTTCAAAAAATGCAATAGAACGAGACTCCCTTGTCAGGTCGCGAATCTTTCTGCCAACGAAACGAACAAGTTCCGCAAATTCCGAACCAGAAGTGCCAAAGGTCTCGACCGTCATGGGATAAAAGAGATATTCCATTCTTTCCACAAAGGCGTATTCACGACGTTTAATGTCTTCGGCCAAATGTGCAACACTACCGGATGCACTCGCGCTTGCCCGCACATGCCATACGGCTACCGCGTCCCAGCATGTAGCGTCTCAAACGAGCGCTTTGCCATCACGTACAGGCACGAGAGTCACACCGTCTGGCCGCGTATTATCTTTACCGGACAGTCCCAGTGGCTCGCTTTGACATGGATACCCCGCATGTTCTAAAGCCCGCTTTGTTACGGCGTTGAGTTCGACATTCAGAAGTAAAATTCAGTTTGTACAGCGCTACTGCAGTGTTAGCACTAAGCGAAGTAACATAGCTGCGCAGAACCGCGCAGCTATGTTAGTGTTAACCGATGACTGTTAGTTGTAACGTAATCGTTCTTCGGCTTTTCGTAACTGTTACTTGTATGTATGCGGTTAATTGTAGTTGAACTTACGCTATTAAGTATCCCGCGCGTTCGCAATTCCAGCTGCAGTTTCATCTTCTCACGAAAGCAAGCAACGGGCTTGGTTGAGGACAACGGTGACCGGACACGCTCTTTCGGGAGAACAAACAGTGCCGTGGTACCAGCACCATGAGAAGCCACCATGACGAAATGACATGTGCCGGCAAATGCGATGAAGTTCTCCATGACCATTATGGCGGGATGCCATTTCCAGGGTTTATCCAAATTCAGACGAAGGAATGCTTCCACCGGGAATTCCTCGTCAGGGCCTACGACAAAACCCCGATGCGTAATCGCCACTATGCTATGCAGGACAGCACGAACTGTTTGCCGCTGCGCACGTTATACCGCTGTACTTTGTAGTTGTCACTATGACTGTTACCAACCGAACCGTATGCTTCGTTCATTAGATAACCAGCAAAAGCGCCACAACACTACTGCATAATGCGAACCTACGAGCCGGCCGGCTGTAAGGACGCCATTGCAGAGAAATTCGAAAGCAGCAAGCTCGTGAAATCACAACAGCCGTCTAACTTTAATGCTGGTATTTCGGACTTACCAGCGGAGCGATTGTCTGGGCTCCGGAAATACTGCCTCGATTTGCGCCAGTGGCCTATATCCAAACATCCAAACGGGCATCAAATGGAATCCACTTTTTCATCGGCGTGCCGGTGGATCGAAAATCCACAACAAATCCCGGTGCTTGGTGAATGCGATGTACACCGACAGCTTTTCCGTAGTGCCACAATCCATCCTCCAGTTGGACATGTACAGCAAATCTCGCATATTCGGTTGAATGATTTTCTTTGCAACAATATTCCTTTTTGCGCTTACAGTTGCCATCAGAGGCTTGTGGCAGTGGATAAACTTTAGCCGAACTGCGTGTTTCATAACAGTACTCCTTAACAACATCCATACTCCGCTCAAGCGGGTCGGCTACAACAAATTTCCGACAGATGAATCATTTATGACATCCGGGCGTCACAAAGAAATAAAACGAAATGGCTACGCGCGAGAGTATCGCGCGCGTAGTACTTTGACTACGCGCGAGAGTTTCTCGCGCACAGTCAAATGACTACGCGCGCGAGTTAGCGAAATTAGAAAAATATAATCGATTTATGAATAAACAGTAATGTGTCAAGCAAAATCAATACCATAACAACCAAGGTCAATTGTCCGAATAATTTCTAGGACGTAAAACTGTGTATTATACCGGTACTGTGTATTAGCCGGCATAATTTCGTATTACAGTACTAGCCGGCAGAGTTAAGCTACCTACCGGTGTTCGTAACGGTTATAGCTGTAAATTTTGTACTATTTACTCCTCTGAAATGGACTCCACCCTGCTCAAAACTGGCGACTGCTTTATGTCCTACGAAGCAGCTGTAAAAGCTGTCAAAGACTGGGGAATACTGACTAATCAGGTCTTCGTAAACCCTGGAGGCAATGCCCGGACATCGAAATCTCATCCGCACCATGTAAGTTTCCCGTACAGCTCCGCCCGACTTATCTGCAAGAAGGGAGGCGAATATCGTCCTCACCGGAAGGACGAGCAGATAACCCACAAGTCCATCACAACGACGTTGAAAAGCGGTTGTAAAGCATACGTTCATCTCAAGCTTGTCAACGGCATGATGGAAATTGTGCATCTACCAGCCGCGGAGGATCATAACCATGAGCTCTCAAGCATCGTAGCCCAGCACATCCCGGAAAACAGAAGACTGTCCGCGACGGAAGTTGACACCGTGGAACAGCTCCTTACCAATCGCGTACCGCCCCGGATCATCACGGGCACCATCAACGCGACGCGTCGGTCGACGGGAATGTTCGGGACAGTCATAACAAAGGACATATTCAACCAAGGGACCAAAATTCGCAAGGAAAAACGACAGGGACGTCGGGAGGACGAGATTCTTACCCAGTTCCTGGTTCAACTTCGTCAAAACGATCCAACCGGTACTTACGACGTTTCCGTAGCAGAGGAAGAAAGCAATTCCCTACGTCTCGTTTTCTTACAAACAACAACCATGAAAGAAACCTTTGCTCGTAACCCACAGGTCTGTTCGAATAACACGTTTGAACAACCATCGGTCCATCTTTGTAAAATTTTGCATAGATGTGTGCTTTTCAGGTACTGTTTCTCGACAGCACTTATCGGATTAACATCGAGCACTACACCTTGTACGCCATGCTCGCGCAGGACGAAAACGGATTTGGCCAACCGCGAACACGCTTCCAACGAAACATGGACAAAGATATTGTGCAGCCACTTTTAACGGCGTAAATCACTATGTCTGCGCGCTATACGATTGTATGAAACCTGGCGTCGTACGGATCTACTGCTCAACGGGACAACAGCCAACAGATCTGCTGAAGTTACGGCTGTTTCGATTGTTTTGCTTCCCGGACTCAAATGGACAGGTCGAAATCGAATACGTCCCTGTTTATGGACAGTCGCCAGCAAGCAACAATTGCTTAATTTATGCGTTTGCATTTGCTTATGATTTGATGCTACGGAAAACCATCCAGACTGCGAATTACAGCCCTGACCGAGAATTTCGGGAATGGTTTCGCGAAATCATTGTCACGGGAGTCTTAAAGCCACCGCCAAGAGCTCAGGGACGAAATGCCCGTACTAAGACAGTGATCACCTTTCAAAGCATTCGCGTTTCCGCAAAAGATGCCGAAGCGTTGGAGAAAGCAGTGAAACTGCCGGCTAAGCGGAGAGACACTGTTATTTAAATTCGAATTGTTATTGAGAAATAATATCCGTGACGCTGCTGCATCAAAATTGTAATTTAGTATTGCTGCGTAGATTACTGCTTTGTCTATCCGCATAAAAAGGAACAAAATCTATCGCGCGTAGCTGATTCTGTACAGTTTTTACTACCGGCGAGAGCTCTGGCGCGTAGTCAAACTACTACGCGCAGGAGCTCTCGCGCGTAGACAAATTCTACGCGCGTGAGTACTCTCGCGCGTAGACCTGACCAAAATAAAAGTGGACGCGGCCGTATTTTCGGTAGAAAGCTAAAATATTGTTTTAGTTGTACACATAATCATTAATGATCAGCGGAAAGTAACCGTTATGAAAGAATGAATGTCTGTACCGTTTTGCGCTTTGTCGTTGTCTACTTCTGAGTAAAGCTAAATAAAACTGTACGATTAAACAAAATTAAATGCTACAAGATGTTCGAGCCATGTGCGTTGTAGCCGGCAGCGGTGCAAACATGTAAGCGGTTGATTTTTTTTATTATTAGGCAATGGCCACCAACATAACAAAAAGCGGTTGATTGTTTTTGATGCCTTACGTGCGGGTTCTGCTGCTGGGAAGAATGGCTGTTGCCTGCGGTATCATCAATGGGAAGCGTGCCGGTATATGGGACGTACCAAATTCGTATACCAAATTTGCTTTCGTGCGCCTCTTGCTTTATGGTGTTCTGCAGCCTGCAGCCACGCTGATGTGTATTTATTGGCGTGAAAACAGCTTGGGCGCGCAACATCCGGTACAAGTACTTCTGGTTGGAGAATAACTGATAATTTTCAGATGATCGCTTATTTTGACGATTTGCAGGAATGTCCAAATTTGGATAAGATAATTACATAGGTGCTTTATTGATTTGGCGTGATTATGTGCCCGTGTGCCGTATCGAACTAACACGCATGTGGAGCCATGTTTTGGCTCTCTAAAAACATTAAGTATACGCGCAGGATTACTTAACATTTTTGCGTACCTTGAATGGCTTGAAACCTTCTGTATAGAAATGCAAAATTGTCTATACAGATTATCGGTACAGCTGACCACACTTAAACTAAAGATCATATTATTATTATGGTATTACTTGGCTGATTTCTTTAAAATAATTACATATCATTTAAATATTACACCATAATATGGAATTCGTGAATAGATTTTATGATTTTCAGTTTGCAGTTGCACTATCGTGGGCTGTAATGGTGCGCAAAAGCCAAGGAATAACGTTGGCAGATGCGGTTGTTGATGCCGGACTTTCGGAATTTGCACTGCAATTAATTTTCTTATGTCCAACCGTTCACTTTTCTTATGATCACTTTTCGATAGACCAGTGCTGAATCATACCTGACCGGATTTTTAAACTTATAAACATCATGGTTCTGGCACGCCGTAAAATGTAAGAACTCAGACAGTGGATAGCAAATAAAAGAAAGTTATTGTACCATTTTTATTTTTTTAGTTCTCGAGGCCACCACATGACCTGAGGAGCTTCAAATTAAGACGTCTCCTTATTTTATATCTAATCCCATTTATTTTACTTACGACGTACTTTAAAAGTTTAAACCACGATACTAGCACACACTATGTTTAGACTCAAGCAGGAAGACGGAAAATTAAGCAAAGGTTTCGCATATTCCTCAAAGAAACTTCCAAAACACTTTTCAAAATTATGAAAGCTAATCGCACTGGGTCCACAAACGAAATTCGCGGTGTTCCAGTCGCGCATCGAAAAGGTTCGTTATGTTAGGCCCTGTCACCCTGTGGATGAGGCTTCGTTATGCGTTGCTTGTCATAATCCCGGCAGAACGGTTGAAAAATTTGCAAAAAGTTGACGCGGCTCCTGTGACCATCAACCCATTTACCTTCCTGCAACGCTAACGCCCTGCAAATGCGTTGGCTGAACTTTCGGGGGCAGGTTCAGCCGTACACTAGTCAGCACGGTAAGGACACGAACGTCAGCCTCGTCCAATCGCCGCTGCCGGCTTTTGTTGTCAAGTTGTATGGGCGTGCGCTGCAGTATGAGCCAGCGCGTTCTCACGCCAAGACCGTTTCGTCTTGCCGCTGCCGCAGGTTTCCCATGCGGATCGACAGTCGATGTTTGGCCGATGAAGACGACTCATCGCTGCTTTCTCCAGTTGGCCAGTAGTCGTCTGTTAACCATTTCAGATCTCTGTGCTTATTACATTATTTTCATATTTTAACGCAGTAAACTTCCCTTTAAAGCGCTAGTGTTGCATCTGTTGGGAGTTGGTTGTTGAGTGCGTCGTTGTGAAATCAGTCTGCACCGATTATTATTGCATACAGTGTTTCTGTGAAAGAAAAGTGAGTGAGTACAGTGGGTTTTAGGATTTTTAGGATCTTATTAAGCGTTGAGTATTTGCGAGATGAGAACTCTAGAGCGCCCTCTAATTGCAGGGAATCCGTGCCAGAAAATGTTTCGACCTTTGATTAAGAACCCCGGTACCGCACGATATCGCCGTTACACCAACCGACCATGTGGCATACTGATCGGGCAAACGGGCGTCGGGAAAACCACCTTGAAGAACCGTCTGTGTAACACCAACCATTTGGCTGGTGCATCCGAAGGCAGCGTAACCCAGCAGCTGGTGAAGAACGATGTCAGTGTCGGGACGAATGCCTTCTCCTTGATCGACACACCAGGAACCGACAGCCAAACTCACACGTACAAGCATGCTGTTCTGCTGCGTGCCGGACTGACCGCCACGGACCTGGCCACGCTCTTTATCGTCGTGAAATACGAGAACCGGTACTACAAGATGATCGACAATTATCTGCAAGCGGAACAGCCGGTGGCGAACTTCACCCGGAAAATCGTCATCCTCATCTCGCACATGGACAATGCCGGGGATCCGGGAGCTGAGTTCGCAAAAATCTGCCAGTCGCTCATGGAAGCCAGTCCGAATGTCGCCAACGTGATTTTCTTCTCGGAGCGAAGCAATCCAAATTCTGTTGCTGAGCTACTGTACGCCTGCATGTCCAACATGGAACCGCAGCGGTTGACGATCTCGGACGACGATTTCCATTACAATTTCACGCTGTATCAAGTCCGGATTAACATGCGCAAATCGTTCGAGCAGTATAAGAAGCAAGTGCAGGCCCTGTTGGGCGGTTTTTCGCGACTCCGTGATCGAACCAAAAAGGAGTCCGATGAAGACAAGGACGAGTTGTTCCACGTCATGATTGTGCAGTTCAAGTACGATCTGGATGAACTGTACGACGAGTTTGTGGGGAAGTATGGTACTGACATGGTGGAGATGGAGTACTTCGCTCTGTGCATTGAAATGCAGCGGGAGAATGTCAAGATATGCGATCGGTTCGTCAGCTCCGTCACCCCGCTGATGACGTACAACCTATTCGATAAGACAGATCCACGGAATCTGATTAAGGCGTGCCCCTTCTGTGGTCTGGTGTGGTGGAAGACGGAGGGTTGCGACGGTGAAACCAGGTGCGGTTAGAGTGGCATCGCAGTTTTAGATTCGATTTTTACTTTAAATCAGTTCGCAGTCACGGCGCGCCTTGCACGTGAAGCGGTTTGAAAGAAAAAGAGCGGCTTTTTCGTAAGGTAAATCTTAATAATTAAAATTAACATCTAGGACGAAAAAAATAAGAACCAGAATCGAAAAAATAACGCAAGCTTTTTTTGAATTTTTTATTTAACAAGTTTTGTGAATAATGCATAATTTTTAACGTACGAAATTGTTGAATAAAATTCAGAAAATGCTGAATGTTTGATTTCAAAAATTGCATTTCACTAACGGAACTAAAACTGTTTGATTTTCGTCGCCAGGTGCGGTAGCCGCGTTAGCGCCGCCTTTGACTCGCGACCAAATCGCAGATCCTGGTTTCGGTATGCCTTGGAATGGATCAATGGCGAACTGGTCCACAGCAAGAAGCCAGTGGCCAGGCCTTTCGTCGGACCTGCACAGGCGTCTCAGTGGGCCGATGGAGTTGGATGTGGCCGACCAATTACTTGGAGCGAGTTGCCCAAACTGAAGGATGAAGTTCTGTTCAAAATTTTCGAAGTGAAAACCATGGATGAAGTGAAGAGCATCATGCAGAATGACGGGTACAAGAAAGCCAGAGCTAATTATGTCAGCAGCATCGATACAACCTTCCATTCCTGAATGGCCTCACCTCCGTTTTTCCTTGGTAACCGGGTAACGCGGGATTATGTCAAACTGGTTCAACCGTTCATCGCCATTACTGTACAGATTACTTAGTATGCTCACTATGCTGGTATGTTATGCCGAAAAGTCCTCGAAATCATCGCCTTTCTGCTTTATGAATTTTTCTGTTAGTACGTAATGCGTGTGCAAAAGGAATGGAAGTGTTGTTTTGTCGGATGCACATGCAGACGCCTTAATCCTGTTAATAGCTTGATAAGATTTCCAGTGTACTAAGCGGTTTCTTTGATTTGTAAAACAGCTTTTTTTGCAAGCTCGTTCTGGTATCGCAAGCCCTGAGTGGGCAACCGCTCCGTTGCAATTAAGGACAATGAACTTCATTATTACTTTGTATTATAATCGCTACGGGTAGCGGTTGTGGGCTCTTGCTTTAGGTACTTATTTCTCAAGAAGCACCGTGAGTTCGTGACTGTCTCTTTGCCACCGATCTACAGTACATTAATCTCACTGTAATGCGGAATCATTTTGAATTGCAACTGCGAAATCAAAGCTCCGTCTCCAGCAATACTTTGGCATTTCTCAACAGCCGGTCACTTATACTACGAAGTAGCCATTTTGAATAACCGGCCCCCATGTGGCGCTTGACGAACTGTTGACCCCAGTTGAAATAATGTGCACAGTGGGAGTGACATGCGATTTTATATGAGCTATTACGAGGAATGTTCCTTCACGACAATTCCTCTAGGAAACAGCACTATCTGGTTTGTCTTCCTTTCCCCTGACCATCGCATTCAAAAGGCTCGCTTTGCAGCCCTTTGCACTTAAAGGTCACTTGTAAAAAAATTATGATGAAGTCTGCAAAATGTGTACTCAACTCAGCATTAAACAAGAATCAAGTTAATGTACATATTTACAGAGAAATACGGATATCCGAGAGCTGCTGGCAGCAGCTGTAATGTCCGCCAAGCGTAGAGAGTGAGATTGTTAAGGGTCATCAGCTCCAGCTGAACCGCTGTCCAGTTTTCGAAATCCACTGGACTGAAACGATTACCCGGACGGGGATCCATTTTTTGAAAAAGATGTGAAATCTGAAATGCAAAAAGCCCGATGTAAAGTCTGAATATGCAAGACGTCCGATTCACCCGTGTGAGCTGATAAAATTGAGTAAAATTTAATCTGATTACTTGCACTTTGAAGCAAATGACTTATGGAACAATGACTACGAGTATAGATCGGTTCACATATAACAATCAACATTGAAAGGTTACGAACGAAGCGGGATACGTACTCGTAACTCGCAGATTACGAGTCGTTAGTACTCCTTACGAATTCTCATTATTTTAGTTTTAGTACAAATTCTTACCATGGGAATAGCCTTACGCTGGAAAGTCTGCAGCAGATCTTCATCCGCCAAGTTTTCTTTCCGTTGTGAGCTACAATTAATCAAGTTAGACATCGAAGGAAATTCTTGAGGATCTGCCGATGGACAGCTGTTGTCGATTAAATCCCACCAGTCCTAAATAGAAAGGCTGACCAATCTGGGACCACTGATGCGGCCATAGCGAATGCGCAAAGTCAAAACCGCACTGGGCACAAGCTTGATATACTGTGAATCAGAATGTTTTTTGCAAGTTCTTGTCAATGTAGTGTTTCCTTCGATGCGGATATCTTTCATAATAAAAGTCTCGCACACAGCCCCAAACGAAGCCAACTCCTGATTAGAAGGCCGTCATCAGACCTAGATCCCTTGGCCGTAAACGATACTCTCCAGTCTCTTCATTCAAAATCCGCGTGACATTATTGAGCAGGAAGGCATCTTCACGTGTATGACCACCATTTTTCATTAAATCATATACAAATTGCCCGTTTAAGATTTTTGAGCCGCTCGAATAGCCATGGAGTGTGAAGTTCGAAAATGCAATCGTCGATCTCCAGCATACGTTCAGACATAACGCGCCACAAAAGAGACATAATTTGTCCCAATAACGACCTTTACAGTAACATTTCCGGCCGGGTGAGGACAAAATCAGTAAGCGGTTAAATGGTGCTGACGTAAGAATGAAATTTCAGCCACTGCATACGGAACGAAGAACTGTATGTACCGGCGTTTCTACACAACTAAATACGTACTTTCCTGATAACATCAACCGGCAAATTTTTCATACGGGAGGCCCAGTTAGCACGACAAATACGAGTACTTCGGTGGTATTCTGTAGTCGTTAACTCGTACCATTAAGGTTTCTTCTCGCTTATTCCGCAACTAGCTAACGCGCGCCTAAGCGATCTTCCCGAGTCTAACTTTCGGAAGTCACAACGGTCATGGGACCTGCCGCTGTGTAACGCATCGTTATCCACGCCCGACTCCTGGCTCAGTCAACTCCAGAAGCTGGCCTATGCCTGAATGCCCTGCCCTAGGCGCACGTCGGTAACTTTCTCGACGCTGACACCGTAAAGATATCCGTCGGATTGAGACTGGGCGCAGTAATTTGTGAACCTCACCTCTGTACCAAATGCAACAAGCCGGTCGATGTGTACGGCCACCACGGATTGTCCTGCTCTTTTTCAGCTGGGAGACACGCACGTCACGGCGGCTTAAACAACATCGTTTGTAGAGCGTTAGTGTCAGCAGGCATCCCAGCAAAAGTGGAACCCAGGGGAACTTCCCACACGTCCGACCGGCGTCCAGATGGCTGCACCACCTTCGCCTGGAAACGGGGGATGTGCTTAGCATGGGACGTGACGTGTGTGGTCACTGTTACCAAGTCGCACCTGCGATCAACATCCGCGACCGCGGGATCTGCCGCAACACAAGCCGAAGAGAAGAAAGTTCGTTTCTATGCATATCTTGAGGGTAGATACATCTTCGCACCGTAGGGTAGGCTTTTGAAACGCTTGGGCCATGGGGAAAGTCAGCTACCTTATTAGCGAAAGAAATCGGCAAGCGGCTACAGCAGCACATGGGAGAGCCTCGTTCTCACGAGTTTCTCCGGCAACGACTGTCACTGGAAATCCAGCGAGGCAACGCTGCTAGGGACAATGGAAGGAGCGGCAGCATTAAATGAGATTTTGTTATTATGATTTACTGTTTTTGAAACTGTGATGTTTCCGCAACTTGCTAAATGCTCTATCTGAAAGTACAATAAATCAATTAATGAATGCGTTAATAATTGGGTGTTCTATCAATATCATATCAAAATGTAGATTTAGAGTATAAAACAAAATAATCTCATTACAAAGCTTTTCACATATTCAACTGGCGCAAGTGGAACCTTGTGCAAACTATTACTTGCGGCGTATCGCTTAAAACATCCATTTTTCTCTCGTACTCTGTACAGGCAGAAGATCTTTGGGTTAGACTGAAGATGCAAGCCGAAAATTACAGGATACGTGCGCCCTTACGCAGTGGAACATCCAGAATATTCGCAATTTTCGCTTCAAGTCAGCTTTCTCTTGATGGGAAGCAACAGGCTGAGATGTGGAACACGGTGACGAAAGCGATTACAACGGATGACAAAGAGGACAGTAGTACCGCTATCATCAACGGGAACTTTGACAAATCTCATTTCGAATTCGAAAAAGTCCGTCATGACTCATGACCAGCTTTGCGGGGTGCCAGTTGAACGGTTCATCAAAATTCAGACGAAGGAACGCTTCATCTGGGAACTATCTGCTGTCACGAATACTAAAGAATCGTGACGTTTATTTGAAATTCTGTCATACGCAAATGACAAAACCTGGTGAGTAGTTCTATGTACAGTAACAATACTTGACATAATATTATGTCAAGTACATCTGTATATATAATTTATCTGTATAGTCATTTAATATGCTTACGCCGTGAACCGTGAACATGTCAACATTTTTGCCGGCTACAGAAGTGCAGAGTACCAGTAAAAGAACAACGGTTGCGGATGGAAAGCCAAATCAGTCTCTGCTAGCTCTCACAAATTAATAGAAGTATGAAAATAATAAAACTCTTCTTTCTTCTTTCTTGCCAATCTTCCGGTTATTCGCATATCGTGGCAGTCGAAACTTTAATCTCTCCAAATGGGCCGACTAGCAGGACCAGCATCGCGCCAGTGACGCATAATATCAAAGCGTGCATCCGACGGAATCCCCTTCTTCATCGGCCTGCGTGGAAGCCCAAAGTCCACCATGAATCCAGGAGTGTGTGCAATACGACGCACACAGACAGCTTTTCCATAATGCCACAATCCATCTTCCCTTTGGATATTTTCCCTTAGTGGTCTGACGGGTTTCTTCGCAAATTTCCTCCCCGAAAATCATACTGCGCCTAATTTGTTTTATTACTGTACTTATAAAAACATCCGCTCTGTATATGTACCGATTTGCGATTCATATCACCCAGGCAGCAGAAAGTTAATTTGTTGCAACAACGGCAAGTTAGAACAAGTTCTCCGCTTGAAGGGGTCGGCCTACTTTACCTTTGCCGCCCCTTTGCCTTTGCCTTTTCACTTTACCTTTTTCAAGTTTACGTTTACCTTTGCCTTTGCCGCCGTGAATACCTTTACCGTCTCAATTTAGCGTTGAAAAATGCCGCTCAAAATGCCTTTACCGTTAATTAACCGTTGACAAATAAATTACCGTCGACACTTTGCCGTTTCTAAAACTTCTTGCTTATTTTATACTCATATACTTATCTGATACAAAAAAAAATGCGGAACCAATACCGTTACTATTTCCCGTTACCATCCCAAGATAATTTAAATCATATGTCAGGCGATGATGAGAGTGACGATGAAGGATCAGAACTAAGCCAAATAGGTGTTCAAACGCGGTGGCAACAGTCAAAAGGTGAACTGAAGCTCATTTTATGAAGGACCCAAAGGTGGTGCGAATAGCCAAATTGTGAAGAATTGCAGTATGTATGTTTAATGTTACGTACATTATATAAAATGCGCAAAGTTCAAACGCGGACTTACAACGTTTTTTACCCTTGACATACAGACATCGAACGCAAAACCGCGCCCTTTTACACGTCTTGCATGTATGTATGTACGGGCTAAACTCGACCGCATGCGCATAACTGTTATGACATACAGACTGACATTATGCGTGCAGACATTATGCTACTAAATTGTATCACCACATTTGAATTTCTAAAAATATAACCTGTTGAAAAGTATCAAAGCAAGATGCACTTGAGTATTGCTGCGCAATATTCTTTTCAGTTAAAAATGAATAAAAAGACTGCGGTTAACAATACTTCTGGGTAGCCAGACCAAAGCGGGAACCCCGCCACAATGTTAAACAAGTATACAATCTTCTTTCGTAAAATACAGACGAAAAATCAGAAATTAAAATAAATTAAATTAAATTTATGCGACCAACAAATCATTCAACTCATACTTCGTTAAATTAACATGGTATCAAAAAATAATTTCTGACTTACGATGGAAGGCTGTCCAGCAGTATTAGTCGAAGTTCGGATATTAAATTAGATTAAGAAATCAAGCACAGAACGGGGTGTATTGTAAACAGCACCAGCAGCTGGGTAGCCAGCGCGCAGGGTTCCCTGCGATACAGGTCTACATGACAAGTATACCACAAATTGTTAGAGACAGCCACAAGAATTTGTGAACCTTTTGGCAAGTCGAAATCAATTTGTAATACGCTAGTCAGCTGTAATGGGATCAAAAATAAATTGAGCAATTATCATACAACAAGTAATCAGTAAACAGGGGCGCACCTGGCCCAACACTGATCTTGCGCAGTCCAATCTGGATTCCCAAAATGCAGGCATCCCTGCACTATAGATGCATCAGTAATGCCACAAAAATTATCAGTTTTTACAATCCTAAATTCAAAAACAAACAAGAAGGAAAGAACCAAAACTCAAAAAAAGATATAAAGCCCTACCATTTTATCGTTTAACCGTCGCCGTAAGCTCAAAGTACAGAGAAACGATCACGTGGTTTGGAATTTTGCTATTGGCGGTGGGCAGCCTCGATCTAACTCAAAATGCAGACCCACCAATCAAGATCGCAGAAACACGAAGTTTGTAAGTCGCTGGGCGTCGCTTAGACCCGTTACAAGGTACGCCCATGTTGGTAACGGTTTTCGTCGACGCCCACCGACAGACATCGAGCGAAAAGCGACTTACAACGAAGCCCAGCCAATTGAGACTTGGTACGCCTATTTTTCGCTTCGATGTAAGTCGCAGATACTCGATGTAAGTCCGCGTTTTGACTGTGCGCATCCTTTCTATTTAACACTTTATGTTAACCGTAAGCAGCCAGTATGCGTACTGCCTGCTACGTGCATGTGTACAATACGGGGTATATACGTGCATTTGTACGGGGCATTTGTACGGAGCACATATCGTTAACCAAATGAGTCTGGAATTAAATTAAGGACTACACGCGACCAGGTCGTATATATATATACAGGTCGTACATATATACGAAGGTCGTACATATACCACACAAATAGTGGTGCGAAATTTTAGAAACGGCAAAGTGTCGACGGTAATTTATTTTTCCACGGTTAATTAACGGTAAAGGTTTTTCGAACGACATTTTTCAACGGTAAATTGAGACGGTAAAGGTATTCATGGCGGCAAAGGCAAAGGTAAAGGTAAACTTGAAAAAGGTAAAGTGAAAAGGCAAAGGGGCGGCAAAGGTAAAGTAGGCCGACCCGCTTGAAACGTGTTAACATTTCAAAATTTGCTGCTAAATGGATTGTCAACACTGTTCAAAGCTGGACCACGTTGTTCGTCGAATTAACCACACAAATCTAAGACTGAAACAGGCGATGCTACACAAGTCAAGCGCGTTGCAGCCGGCACTCATGCACGGAAAAGAGTTTAATGGTTTACATCTTTACTTAGGTTGTTCTTCTGTTACTGTATAAGTCGGGAAAACAGTTGTTGTTGGCGGTATCGTTGATAATTTTATTCGATTTGCTCGATATACATATAACGGCGCGTCGGCGCACAATAAGCTGCTAAAAGACGAAAATAAATCTCTAAAATGCCAGCGTGCAAAAAATAATAACACACTTAACGAGATATTTCAGTGATTTTAACGTTCTGTAGCGCAAAGGTTTATGCAGTCGTTAATGGAAGCCGTTGTCTGCAGAAACATAACCGTCGTCAAGTTTCGAGGTAAACTGCCTGTAAACTGCCGCTCATGATAAAACACATGTGGACAAAGCAGCATACGAAAACTGTAATGAATACACGGAATACAAAACCCCGAACTGACTACTAGCGACTATTTTGCAATAAATACGGTACAAACATGGTTACATTAAATATGCAAACTTCACATGAACTTCCACAGTTACATTGATACAAAGGTTACTTGTAGGCAGCAACTGTACAGTGCGTAAAGCAAACAAAGTAAGCCTGCTCAGCCTCGCCAAATCCAGATCAATCATTTTCCATTGTTCCCAAGATACCTGGTCATAAGAATTTCCAGCACGTGGATCTATCCGTTGAAATTCATGCAGTACCTGACAATAAAATGGTGGATGCGAATGAAATGTTGTAAACACAAAGCGGCAAGCGAATAGGCACCGATAGTCACTTCAACGTTAACTATGTACAAACTTTCGCAGACTTCTTACGGTGGGAATAAGCCGGCTTTGGTGATGGAAACTTGCTGCGTCCACCGTTCTTGTATCAAACAGCCGCCAGCACATAGTCCAGTCGGATCAGGAATGGAGCTCCTCGACCGTCAGCGTCGGACAGCTGTTATCTACCAAATTCCACCACACTTCATAGTCATCGAGAGTTTTGATTCGCGCCTCCGAAAGCTGCAGTTGCACCGCCCACCTGTCACATCCTGGTGTGAACGTCTCCAGCATTCCTTCGTTGTTGCTGTAGTACTCGTCGCTGACGCTGCAGTTTCTGATACCCAACGTCTTTCCCACCGACGCAAGCGTTGATAACTCCGTAAAGAATGCCATCATTAATCCTCTGGGTTGCAAGCGAACAGTTTTCATGGATGGATTGTGCTCATACAGTTTCCTACAAATATTAGACAGCAGTATGGTAGTGGGACGGGGATAATTCCCGGCGATCATAACATGCTGTAAAAACCGTCAATCGATTGTTCTTCTGCCGTTCGGGTAACCGATAACTGTGTAGCGAGTGAACACGATCATCGGTCTCCAACAAGCCAACAGGCACGCCGCGTCCGCATAACCAAATGAGCTGCGGAAACACAGCAAGCGGTTTACAACCGGCAGCGATGTGAGAAGTATATTCCAGCTGCTGCATACGCTACGAAGAACGCTGTGACTGCGCGTCTCCTGACAGCCGAATATTTCTGCCATAATTTCAACGGGCAGATGCTGGATGCTGCTTATTATTTCCGCGAGGGAATTTTTCCGGCGTTTCGTTATTCTTATGTGCATCTTCAATCTAGCCAAAAATTGCTTTGTCGGCTGTAAGGTACGATTGGCGTGCATCTGCGGCTCTGGTAACCACAACCGATTTTCCAAAAGGTCACTCTCATTCAAGACACCTTTCTGCAACAAAATTGCACACTGCTGCAGTTAAGGAAAGCGACAGGTACATCGCACCTAATTAGTGTATTGCAACGGCAACTTCTAAGCTGCCACTAGTGGAGTGGGTTAATCCACCCGTACCACGATAAAACGAGGTTTGATGGTTCGTCGGTGACCGTCGCTGATGTTACGAGTTAGCGAATTACCCAAAAGTCAGTTATGCAATTGCGAACATGTTAACCGATACCGGCGCGATTGTCAAAGTGCACAAACATTTTTAATCAGCCGAAAAGTCATTGGGGAAGAGCAAGGGCAAGGGCAAGAACAAGAATGATTTCAGAACATTCAGACAGTCTCAGAAGTCTAGAAAATCCACGTTAGAACTGGTCATTTCGTACAAGTACACATTCAGATGTTTCCGGTTGAACTAGCACCAATGAGATGTACATCTTCACTACAGATCTCATTTGTACGGCTACATATGTACATCAGTACATGCATGAAAACTTTCGCTTTGGAGTCCCAAAATCTTTTTTGCATTGTTTTATGCCATTCTATAGCCAAATGATTTGTATACATGGGCGATAAAACCATTTGCGTGAGCAGCATCTGGTTGAGGAGACAGATATAGCTGAAGTACTATAATCTAAAAGTTTAACGCGCAGCGGTGTACCTAAAAGTCTCATTATTATCGATTTTCTTCAAATTTTGAGTAAAGGCGCACCTTAGCATGAGGACCGTTTGTACACCGAACTAAATTTTGAAATCATCGAAAGTCATTTCAAAATTTCAAAAACATGGTGGAAACTCGGTTCGGTTTAAAAACGATTTTCATGCCGATGTGAGTTTTTGTGCATAATATGAAAGTGATCGGTTTATACTGAGACTTTTCGTACACCTGAACGCGTTTTAACTTTTGAACACCATCACTGCCGCAACGGCAGAACCGGATTTTGCGCGCACACGGCAACCTATACAAATCTTTTGGTTAGAGATTCTCATAACAATGATAACACAATATGCAACAGTGTAAGGGACTGCGCGAAAGTGAGTTTTCGTGCATGCACTGCCAATTTGGTACAATATACCGGGTCGCATCCCTTAAGTAATTTGATGAGCATTGTTACAGCAACATTTCTGTTCTCCAACAAACCAGAAATCAATTTCTGTATGGCTTCAGTCTTCACTATGCACATTAGTTTGGTAATTCTCGAAGCGACTTTTAATAAGTAACAAACAAAAATTAACACGAGTATGCTGTATAAGTGGTTTTCAGTACAAAACAACAAATATTACCCTACAACGATTTCGCGGTTTGTCGACTCACATAACTCCATGTCGTGTCTATTTGGTTATACAAATTAAGCTTTTCCTGATATGAGGCAGTGGACAGGCATTCGGCGAATGCGATTTTCAGGGAGTACGATTAGAGTCGAAGTGGCATACACTCGAACTCTAACGATGCGGTAACTGTCGAGATAAACCGAGAAATCGGTCATCAGTAGTTCTCCGGGATGCCATTTCCACGGTTCTTTAGAACTCAAACGAAGGAGAACTTCCACGGACATCCCTTCTTCATAAACTGGAAAACAGTGAATACTAGTCAAAAATTGTACCGACAGTAACTGCAGAGGTCCGGTGTTGCCGTCCATGTAGTAAATAATAATTACCGTACATTAATTTCCATTTCGCTAGTAGTGAACCAGGTGAACAAAATGACTTTTGGGCGTTTTTGAGATGCCGGTTGTATGGGAAGCGGTCACTGAGGTACATCCCGTGCACTCAGCCTTTCTGAGTAGCAGCCCCGAATGCCCGCGGCCGGGTGTGCGGGAGCTGGCTATCAGACCGATCCCGTGCAAGCCGAACCTCCCCTTTATTTAACAAGTAAAGCAGACACCGCTTGACAAAGCCTCCGCGCAAAGGGCGGGCGGGACGGGAGAACAATTCAGTTTAAGCATCAAAATGACAAATGCAGCCGCAGCTGGAAGAAACTTTGAAAACCAATCGCTTGCATAATGAGACATTTCTGATTAAACCAGCGAGGTAACTGTTACTAAGGTGACAGGCACCGGGATTGTATATATGCAGTACTTCTATACAACTTCCGCTCATGGAAATTAACCATAATTAAATACAATGATTTAATTATACATTAATTTCCATTTCGCTAGTAGTGAACCAGGTGAACAAAATGACTTTTGGGGTTTTGAGATGCCGGTTGTATGGGAAGCGGTCACTGAGGTACATCCCGTGCACTCAGCCTTTCTGAGTAGCAGCCCCGAATGCCCGCGGCCGGGTGTGCGGGAGCTGGCTATCAGACCGATCCCGTGCAAGCCGAACCTCCCCAAACAACGGCCCCAAATTAATCCTTGGGATAAAGGGATATGCCAGTCAGAGGAACGTCCGTGCGAATGTACGAAGCATTTGCATTTGATGTCCAGCGACCAGCACGCTGAATATCTTCAAGCGAAGTAGCGTTAGCAGCTGCGCAAGAGGCTGCTCCGATCCTAAAACTGTGCGGTGTGTATAAATGGATGTTCGAAACTCCACTTAATGCTGAAGTCAGCATGCGAACAAAAGCTGATCTGGATACAGGCAAACCGTTTGAGGAAACGAACAAAGCGCGGTGTGCGAATATTTTAGACTTTTTCTCAGTGTTAAATATTGTCGCAATGCCCGTACTGCGCAGACCGATCGCCCGGTGGCTAGCAGAGAAATTCGGCATCCTTCATGAAATTGGTCGCATTTCGATGATCGCAGATTAATGATCACTTTCCCTCTGAATAGTGAGACATCGGATAAAAATAAAAAATGGGTGCTAGTTGTCGGGATAATTTCGCCAATGCGTAAGAAACCAAAAAAGCACAGGGTAAACATGCTCCAGTAAAGTCGCCTATCGTAGGATGATAGCGTCTGAGAATTAGCGATGTTAATTTTAATGATTCGCATGTGGTCAATGGTGATTGGCAATCTGCGATCTACCGTTGTACCTCGTAGACGCTTATATCCAGTAAGACAATGTCTTAAACTAAGTGAATTAGAGTCAAAAGTGGAACCACTTTCTTTAAGTAAATTAAGAACCGCTGACAGATAAACTTTCGCGGATGAATAAGGTAGACCTCTCTCAAACAGATACGCAATATAACGTGAGACTGTAGACTGAGTTATACGAGAAAGGGATAAACGGAATTTTACACAAAACTCAAAGAATTTATTGATTCCACTTCGATAAGTTTTCCTCGACGAAGGCGCTATATGATTAAAGCGCAAATTGTCAACAACAATATCAAGAGATGCTAAGGATGCATGAGGTGATAATTGTACAGATCTAGAAGCACACTTTCGGATACCAGTTGCGGCACGGAATCTGCATTTGGCGCTAGACTGATAAACCGCTCCATCTGAAAACGCGATAAAGCGTCAGCAATATTGTTATTAATACGCGATATGTGCTTAATTGTCATAGTGAAATTAAGCCGTGCTGCAATGGCCACCATGCGCCGCATTAATTCCAAAACAATCCTGCTGCGTGACCTGTAGCTTTCCCAAGCTTGTGAAGCACGGAGGTTATCGCAATGAAAGATAACTTTTTTACCGACCAGTTGTGCTCCCCATAATGTCAACGCGACAAGTATGGGTATCATTTCTAAGCACTCAATGGAAAAATGTGCATCATTAATGTAAACTGGCCAGCGTAACCGAAACCAGTGACCATTAAAATAGCCCCCACACCCGCGCGTGGCTGATGCGTCGGTAAACAACTGGATCGCATCACAGCGTGTCCAGTTAATTTCTAAAAATTGTGCAGTGCCATTCCATTTAGGAAGGAATTCCAGCCACCAGTCAATGTCTTTTTGGAAATCGTCGTCGAGGTCAATCTCAAAGTCGGTTGTGCTCTTACTCAGAGACAAACTTGCAATTAACCGTCTTGTAAAGAGTCGTCCGACAGGTACACATTTAGAAGCGAACATAAGGGAACCGATCAAACTTTGAAGTTCAGTACGGTTGCAAACAGTCTTTTGTTTCCACACACCAAATAGCAAAATGATATCGTTCAACTTGCCATGCGGTAAGCTTAAAGTCTGAGCAACTGAATCAAGTACAATGCCGAGAAATTTTAGTTTTGTTGACGGGCCTTCTGTTTTTTTAGTAGCAAGCGGAACTCCTAGCGAAACGCAAAGTTCGGAGAATTTATCCATGAGTTCAGAGCAGAGTTGCTGATTAGAATGTGTTGCAAGGAAAAAATCATCAACATAGTGTAACATGAACTTATGCCCAGTAAGATGCACAAACACCAAATGAACTGCATCCGAAATTAAACAGAATAAAAAAGGTGAAAAACGCGAGCCGAAAGGTAGAACAATGTCGAAGTAAAAAAGGTCATTGCACTGGTAGCCAAGCAGATACCAATAGCCGGTCTGACTGGCACAAAACGCAACGCATGCTGAATATCAAATTTAGACATAAGAGCACCTTTACCCAATTGCAGGAGAATATTCACAGCATCGTCGACATTGCAGAAAGCTAAGGAATAATCCTCTTTACTAATATAATCGTTCACACTGTGTCCGGCTGGGCGCGACATATCCATGAGAATGCGAAATTTCCCATCCGGTTTAGGTCTTACTCCGAGCGAATTTATAACAAATGTAGGAAAAGGCGGGCTGCTGAATGGACCGACAGAGTGTAATAGCGACACTTCTGAATCAATTTGCGACTGAAGATGCGTAGCATAAATACGAGCAGATGCAGCATTTGGTGTGCGCATACTACGCTTCGGACCACGATAACCAATGTCGGCGCCATATCGTAAGATGTTCAGTAAATATGATACGAACTGTTGATCAGGATGTTCTTTAAGGAAATGAGCGAATGCATCTGCCTTCAGCGGGGTTGCGATATTTTTAGGAATTACTGCTGTGCACTTTCGCTTTGCACTGTGGCTCTCGATGTTCGCGTTGACCGCAGTTTGCACACCGATGTTGGCGGCCGTATCGGCAGAGCAAGCCGGTAGTACATTGTCCTTTATTCCACAACTGGCAGATTTCGTCAGGTTTAGGTCCCCCGTTGCCGGCGGGGAAGTTGAGAAACGACTGCCCAACCCATGAAGTCCGACGATTGCTGGTAGCACTACGCAGCAATGGACATTCCGGCCGGATGTGTCCGTATTCAAGGCAGTGAAAACACTGAATAATAGTTTTGCCCACACCGACTGCAGGTTGATCAAAATCAAGCCCGAGTGGTTGTGACAAGTACTCAGCATAAGCGTCATCATTTTTACGAGACCACTGCATGGCGTCGTCTGGGTTGCGACAAATCGCTAAACGGAACTGGCGGTCATAAGCAAGCCACTGTTCAGGTGTAATTCCTTTAGGCGCCGCAATTTGGGCGATGTGGTCCATATACTTGGTCATCGGTAGCCACAGTTCCGGGTATATGGCGCAACGGTACATCTTCAGCACATTAAAAGCTCTCGACCACTGGTGGTGATCGCGAATCTGCTCAATTTTTGAGGCATTGCTCTTGGAACTGGAGGAAGCATGCGGGGTGCGGTTGTTCAATAAAAGGTCGTTAAGATTCACGAATTCCTTTTTACTGAATAACTTGAACAGGAGCGCATTATCATCAACCGGTGGTAATAAAGTCTTAACGTTTTCCGGCAACGATTCCAGGATAACAACGGCCTTACGGTTAAGAGCGGCAGTAGTATTATTACTACTAAAGTCAATGCCTTTAGTGCCGTCTAAAGTGAAATCTTTACCTGGCTCTGAAACTGGGGAAAGGTGTTGGTCTTGTGAATGTGGTAAGTCGGATTTCCCGGCATCATGAATTCGAACCCGGCGCGTTGCTGGTGAAAATGAACGGGTACTTTGATCTGTTGCAGGGATTACTGTAGCAACAGAAGCCGAAAGGTCTGCGATTTGTTTCTTCAACTGAGCGAGTTCATCTGCTACCGATTTCTTTTTAGTTGTTCCGGTATTATTAGGTATGCTGCGGGTGTTAACGCCCGGCCTACTGGAACTGGCACGGCTGGTTCCTCGAGGTCGTCCGCGTCCACGTCCACGATTCGAACTGCCACGTATAGACGGCGGTCCCATGATTGAGAGTGATGATGAAAATTAACTGGTCAATAGTTAACCGATTATCGTAAAATGTCCGATTTGTAAAATTCAACAGTTCAGAACTCAGAACCATCAGAACCATTCAGAACAATTCAGTTTAAGCATCAAAATGACAAATGCAGCCGCAGCTGGAAGAAACTTTGAAAACCAATCGCTTGCATAATGAGACATTTCTGATTATAACCAGCGAGGTAACTGTTACTAAGGTGACAGGCACCGGGATTGTATATATGCAGTACTTCTATACAACTTCCGCTCATGGAAATTAACCATAATTAAATACAGTGATTTAATTATACATTAAAAACTTCAATATCTACCGGGCACTGTAAAAGCCGTGAATGGATATCTGTGTCGAATATCACTGCTTCAAATGTCACAAGAGCGACGGTTTCCAGTTGGTTTACACGTTCCGAGGCGATGATAAAATTATACACTATAAAAACAGACCAACAATTTTGATGTTAGGTGCATTTTTAACATACCTTTTAGACTATTGCGGTTAAGATGAGCAAACGCCTGATTCGCACAGCGAGAAGTATCATAACATCCTTACAAGGAGATCCATTTTTTCAGTGGTTTTCCCGGAAACCCAAAGTCGACAATAAATCCCGGCAGTTGAAAAACTCGACAAGCACCTGTCACCATTCCGCAGTGTTCCAGTCCATCTTCTCCTTTCAAATGTACGAGCAGTCTTTCACTTAGGTGACAGACTGCTTTGTGTTTATGGTCGTTGAAAAACATTTCGTTTGCTGTGATCATAATCTTTCCGCAGCTTTTGGATCGCGATCGACAAAACAGCTGTGCTGCATACTGTACTTGATATCTTCCATTCCAACGGTCGCTTCACTTGGTAACCCAACAATTTCTCGCAGTTTCAACAAGCCAGACTCACGGTTGTTTGGGTTACCGATGTCGGATCAACCAATCTGCAGCAGAAGCCTGTATAATGGATGATCATCAAAAACGGAATAATAATCAGGCAATCCGTAACTAATAATTACAATAAAGTTTCCTGGGCTTTGAACCAATTAATTATACGGCTTGAAATTTTATTATCAAGGTGTTACCTTAAGATTTCCAGGTGAGCAAATTGAATTATATGGTCGATTCCCCGCTCTTTGCCACATTTCAACGCGGAGTTAACGTTAACTGTAAATACGTCAAAAGTCTCTAAATGACTGACCTGCCTCCTTCTTATGCATGCCGCTTCATCGCTGGTACCACAGTTCAGTATTGTATATAATTATTGCTAACGACAAGTTCTAAAGGCGCTGAATTATTATTTGCGTTAGTGCAGGCTCGGAACGGAGCCGGTATTTTTGCAATCTGCTGTTCACTTGTTAAGTACAGCCACATCGATGAAGTCATATCGCCAGCAGCTAAAATTCAGCCACATCGATGAAGTCATATCGCCAGCAGCTAAAATTCCGCCAAGAAGGTGAACAAACAAAAATACGATCGTCGTCTTCATGAATGTATGTCGGTAACATGTTTAAAATGTGTATGACTCTTTGCGAGTACAGTCAGTACTAACCACGACACATGAAAATGAGCGCATTGTTAATTGGAGAATCGTTTGTTTTCTTCGCTGCCAGTTAACGATGACTGAATGTTACCGCTCTTGATGTTGGACCGGTATCACCGCTCTTGATGTTGGACCGGTTACTTGTATCAGTGGCTTTATGATGCAAATCCTGCATCGATACACCAGAAAACCGGGAGTCTGGGTGCCACAAAGTTTCTATCGGACCGAGCGATGCGATAACTACAATGGAAAAAGTTCAGTGCAGTGAGCGCTCTAAGCATTTTCTCGAATCAGGAAAGTTATGCACAAATCTTGTTTACTGCAAACGGCATTATGTCGTCGACCATGTATACGGTACGCCGTCACAATCATGAATTTCCGGTTGTATGCACTCAAGGAAGCAGTGATCAAATGTCGCGCTGCGGAATAGTGACCGGGATACGTCGAATTGTCCAATCGCTGGGCTTTCTCGTCGACTTCGGGTTTCCGCATAAACCGATGAAGACCTGGATTTCCTTGAACGAAATCGACGTTATTTGTTGCTACGATAATCAGCCGCCGGGCTATAATTACAATAATCTTCTTAACGGTACGTTGAACTTGATCCGTATAGGGGCGTCCATAGGTGGGGACGATTATATTCTCCCTTTCCGGCCGTTGTAGCCAGTTGGACCGGCAGCTTATAAAATCTTTGCTCCGCTCCGGTTATCACCACAACCAACCTCATGCCGAACAGCGGCGCTGACTTTTTACTTATGCTAGAAATCGTGAACGAATTTGCTTGCAGTACAGTATGTTGACAAGCTGAGCAGCTTTTGCATATTACTTATGGTAAAGCGAGTCAGACCTTTTATATTTTTAACGAATATTAAGTACAAGATCTATACTACGCGCGGCGCCCCATAGTTTTGAGATCTCTATAACCATAAAACTTCTGGAAAAACGGACAACGCCATTAGATCCGGGATAGTTCAGAAGTGGCCGGCATGTGTTTTTTTATGAAAATATCGAGCCGGCATCAAGCCGGCATCAAGACCAGATTGATCCAACCCATCTTAAAGGTCACCTTGAAACTTAGAAATATTTGCCTAGATACAATACAAAATACCAATTGACATAATTATTACACTAATTAAACCGAAAAATAAATAAATTATTGTACTTATTCAAACACTCGCGTTATTCAAAACATTGCTGCCGGTGTTGCCGAGCTCGAAACACGTTTAAAATCAACCGATATAAAATGTAAAAATATCAAATATAAAATCAATACGAAAAATCACTGGACGAGTGAGTGACCGAAACACTATCACCGACCACTGAGCGGGATCTCTACAAAAGTGGGTGACCGAGCTACTACCACTGACCAGTAAGAAAAATCACTAGACAAGTGAGTGACCGAAACACTATTACTGCCCAATGAGCGGAATTTCTAGGTGAGTGAGTCATCGAGCGGCTTTGCTCTTGCTCACCTAACGGGCTCTGTGCACTGGACAGTAGTTGTAGCAGGGTCACATCCTCACCTAGCGATTTTTCTCCTTACCAAGCGATATTTTTTACTGGACAGGTGGAGCTCGGTCAGTCACTCACCTAGTGATTGAGTGCGTCAAAAAATCGCTAGCTGAGTAAGTGACCGAGCTACCACCACTGTCCAGTGCCCAGAACCCGTTAGGTGAAAGAGTGACCGAGATACTACTACTGTCCAGTGCACAAACTCCGTTAAGTAATCTAGTGACCGAGCTACCAATACTGTCCAGCGCACAGAGCCCGTTAGGTAAACGCGTGACCGAGCTACCACTACTGTCCAGTGCATAGATCCCGTTAGGTAGATGGGTGACCGAGCTACCATTACTGTCCAGTGCACGAACTCCGTTAAGTGATCTAGTGACCGAGCTACCACTAATGTCCAGCGCATAGATCCCGTTAGGTAGATGGGTGGCCGAGCTACCAATACTGTCCAATGCATAGGTCCCGTTAGGTAGATGGGTGACCGAGCTACCGATACTGTCCAGTGCATAGATCCCGTTAGGTAGATGGGTGACCGAGCTACCATTACTGTCCAGTGCACGAACTCAGTTAAGCGATCTAGTGACCGAGCTACCACTACTGTCCAGCGCATAGATCCCGTTAGGTAGATGGGTGACCGAGCTACCAATACTGTCCAATGCATAGATCTCGTTAGGTAGATGGGTGACCGAGCTACCAATACTGTCCAGTGCATAGATCCCGTTAGGTAGATGGGTGACCGAGCTACCGATACTGTCCAGTGCATAGATCCCGTTAGGTAGATGGGTGACCGAGCTACCAATACTGTCCAGCGCACAGAGCCCGTTAGGTGAACGCGTGACCGAGCTACCACTACTGCCCAGCGCATAAACTCCGTTAAGTGATCTAGTGACCGAGCTACCACTACTGTCCAGTGCATAGATCCCGTTAGGTAGATGGGTGACCGAGCTACCAATACTGTCCAGTGCATAGATCCCGTTAGGTAGATGGGTGACCAAGCTACCAATACTGTCCAGTGCACAGAGCCCGTTAGGTGAACGCGTGACCGAGCTACCACTACTGTCCAGTGCACGAACTCCGTTAAGTGATCTAGTGACCGAGGTACCACTACTGTCCAGTGCACAAACTCCGTTAAGTGATCTGATGAGCGAGCTAGCACTACTGTCCAGCGCATAAACTCCGTTAAGTGATCTAGTGACCGAGTTACCAGTACTGTCCTTTGCATAGATCCCGTTAAGTAGATGGGTGACCAAGCTAACAATGCTATCCATTGCACAGAGCCCGTTAGGTGAGCGTATGACCAAACTGCAATATTACTGAGCAAATTAGAGCAGGGCCCGCTAAGTTCTTAATGGGTGACCTATCTAGCACCACTGTCCAGTCTTAGCATCCTTTTAGTTTGTAATGTGGTACTCTCGTGGGTGATTAGATTCGGATGGTTTTTCGCTAAGAAAATTTAACAAAAAATGACCTGTAAAGTCAAAGTAATTGCGTTCGCCTGCACGAAACCAAAACATCCATTTTTTTATACAATTTTTGTTATCGGGCTCTTCAGATTTATCCGTTCTAAGTTAACAATCCGTAAACCGGCCTAGGAGTTTAGAACCCAAGAAACGCGGAGGCGAAGCCGAGGCTGTTTCTTGTATAAGTATATTGTTGTATGTACGTCTTGAGTATACTGTATTGTATGTATTTTTTTATCCTTCATGTCGTTGATTTATGGTGCGCCGGCATTTGCGAAGGTTCTTGCCAAAGATAGCCACGAGTGCGAGCCATTCGGCCTCGCCTCCGCCCATTTCTGCTTTCTCCCATTACTTCCACACCTTACCCCTTTTTGGTCATGGCCCATACGGCCCAGCCATATGACATCCCGACCGAATTGTTGTAATAACAACTTAGTAGAAATACTAAGAAACGTTTAGTTTAATCAGCGAGCAGTGGTTAAACCTATCTATAAAAAAATCTGACCATAGAAAGCTATACGGGAGGCTACCGTATACATCGGGACAATCTATCAGTCTTTACAGTTTCCAGTTTTTTTCAGATCGTCGTAATGAAGGGTTGCCCGTGCAAGTTTTCACTCGTTTAACACCCAGTGGACCGCCGAATTGGCGTCTCGGAAAGCTTCGGTTAACTGGCTTCGGAGTGTGTATCGACAGTTGCGGCTTTGCCACGGTTTCATTGGATGCCACCTTAGTCCTTTTGGCTCTACCCGGGAACTGCATCCGCCTTCCTTGCATTACTTATGCCACATACCAAGAAAAGCTTAATTTATATGAAGAAATACGTTCTACAAAATGGAGTATGGTGAGTCGGGAAAACCTGTTTGGTCGCTGTGGTTTTTCTGCTGTAAATTTCGATTCGAAGCCCAAGTTAACAGTTTCCGCCGAAGACATAAATGCAGTCATCTAGTTATCGTTCCCTTGTTTTGTTTGGAAATTGCACAATGTTCACCAATGCGCCTGTAATTTGTAGAAAGATGTCTGGGATGAATATCTTCTATCAAAAAACCAACTGTCGTTGTCAACACTCAAAAGCCGTCCCGCCCAGTGGAGAAAACTCCGTTTTGCTAGACGGAAGTCGCACACAGAAAAAACGACAAGATGGTACTATTCCCCCGCTGCCAGGTTAAAAGGCATCCAGTTTCTGCCAAATGAAATTATGACGGAAGTGCTCGGCTGTCTGGATACACCCCGGCAAAGCGTTCTGCGTCGTGTGTGCAGCAGTTGGAATGTCCTTCTCACATCGTTGCCGGCTGTTACACGCTTACTGTGTTTCCGCGAATCCTGTCGTTACGCGGACGTAGCCTGTCTGCTGGCTTGTTGGAGGCCGATGATAGTGTTCGCTCATTTCAGAATTAGCGGTTTTCAGGACGGTCGGCGAACCATCGTAGATGGACGGTTTCTGCAACAAGTCGTGATCGCCGGCAGTTACGTCCGTCCAGCTACCATACTGCTGGCTAATGTCTGCTGGAAACTTTACGAATGCTCATACTACCAAGAGGTCAGGTTACATCCCAGAGGGTTGATGCTGGCATTCTTCACGGAGTTATCCGCTATTGCAGCGGTGTGTGAGACTTTGGTTATCAAGGACTGCAGCGTCATTGACGAATATGATATTGACAATATTTCCACACCCTGCGCTCCCGGATATGTCAAGTGGACGTGGACATGCCAGCTGAGGATATATGCGGCGCGAATCAAGAGCGTGTGTGACTACGAAACGTGGTGGAATTGGTTAGATCATTGTTGTCCGACGCTGACGCTCAGCGAGCTCCAGTCTTTATCCAGTTATATTACCTGCTGGCAGCTGATGGACACACGATCGGACCCAGTTAATTTCCGTCGAAAAAGCCAGCTTATTTACACAGTAAGAAGACTGTGGAAAAAAATTCGGAAAGGCACAAGAGTGGTTTTGTAGTGTGAAAAATAGGACGCACAGTGCATTTGCAACGAAACACCCTATAGACTGCAAATTTGTGCCAATAACTGTTGCGCCGTTGCAAAGATTTCAAGCTCTTTTGAGTCGAACCCACCATAAATAACAACAGAGATCGGTTACAAACTTTATTAATACGGTCTTTATTTACATGGTTTGATTTACTCGTATTTGAGAACTAACAGCCTTTCATTTTAAGGTGCTCTACGAATTTCAAAGGATGGATCCTCGTGCTAGCAATCCGTATGGCCAGCTGTCTCGGGAACAGTGGAAAACAACTAATCTAAACTTTGCAAAACTTAACAAGCTTACATTGCACACCTTACGCACAGTGCAACTACTCCCGCAAACTAACCCTTGCGTCAATTTAATTATAAATATTAACTTAAACTTAATGAAAATGATTTCTGATGAAATCCAACTATAACGGTAGCGTGTCCTACTTTCTTGCTGGACAATGGCCATCGGATTCCTGCCTGCTCGATGTGGACAATAGCTGCCTCACTCTTCCTCGAAAGGAGATGGACAGCCGTAAATAACATCCTGATTGCTTCGTGTCCTAGTTTTTTTAATAGTAGGTTGCTATATAAAGCCATTTGGCCAGACTTCCACTAATCACGTTTGCTTTCATAACTTTTTATTTTGCTGCTGTTGTTGGCTTAAAGCCGCACTGTTTTGTTGTATGTCGGTCAGAGCTACTGTCTTGGTCTTCGCTACGCCCAAAGGAAGTATATCTTCTGAGCCCACAATACTCTGCGATGCACACTGGTACACACACTAAGCACGCATTACCGTTCTGGACTGATCGCAAACCGACTCTTACTGGTAGTACGGGCCGTACAACCACAATCACTACAGTGAGTTTGAGCTAAAAATTTCCGCAACTAGGCGCTTTCGCAATTGCCATTGGCTGGCTAGCGCTACTTGCATAGATATACCGTATGCGTGATTTGTATACATACTAGTACAAGTAGCAACGCCAATGCACTATTGCCTCTCGTTCTCATCACAATAATGTAGAAACCTGAAGGATGCATTGATATGCTCGGAAGTCGGAATCGTAGCCGGCATTTTTTACATTCAGTTGTTAAAGCAATATCAATGAAATCATATCGCCAGCAGCTGGTGGTCCGCGCTATCAAGAAGGTGAATGCACAAATACTCGTATATCGTGAAAGCGCACACTCACAAGACTCAAAGAAAATATAAATAATGCTCAGATTCAGACATTCGGGTATCTTCCAACGCCTATGTAGGTTTTTTGTGCATAATGCGCAGTAGATAACGACGGGTAACGTGTGTCATCACGATCCGGAGCTTATCTGCGCTCCGAATGGTCAAAACAACTATACCGCACGTATTCAAGATACCGCGCTGCACAGCTCCGTTTTCTAACATACCCGTCCTTATCTCTATGAATCATAACTTATGCACCATAGTGCGCTGCACTGGCCGTATACCAGCCAACAGAGAAAGATGTCTGAATTTTCGTAATAAGGGTATTCGAAACTGAAAAAGCGACTGAATACGCGGCGAATGCATGGAGGCGCGAAAGCTGAGTGAGCGCGCAGGAGATAAGATAACGCGCGCATATACGTGACGCTGTATGAGAGAAATCGCCGTTTCCCGCGATTCGCGGCCAGAATAGCTACTCCGGAGTAGCTTTTCTGGCCGCGTATCGCGTGAATCTTCATACAACGGCACGTACATGTGCGCGTTATCTTATCTCCTGCGCGCTCACTCAGCTTTCGCGCCTCCATGCATTCGCCGCGTATTCAGTCGCTTTTTCAGTTTTGAATACCACCAATGTTTTTTTACTTGCAATTCCGTGAAACGAGACATGCCTGATCTACTGTGAACGTGGCACAGACCGCATATCGTAAAGGGGCGCAAACAATTCATTTATCTGTGACGGTGACTTCCACATGGTGATACAGTATGAGCGGTGAGCTGTTTTAACGGCATAATACATTTTGTGATTTATGTTTGGCACGAACGCTTCGTCTACACAGAAATTTTAGTACGGTCCCTGAAAGCAATATGGCTGCTGTTCACGAATGTATTTACGAAGACAGTATCTACACTAACTTAGAATACCGTCAGCCGGAGCGATTTGCTGTGCATGTCAAAATGAAAGATGGATTGTAGCACTACGGGAAAGCTGTCGGTGTGCGTTAGAGCCAGCAAATTCCTGGGTTTATTGTGGACTTCGGATCTCCGCGCAGACCGATGAAAACGTGGATACCGTTTGATACACCCTTTGAGATATGCCATTGGCGCGATTCCAGGGAATGTTTCCCTAATCGCGGCGGTCACATTACTGGTTAGCTGGAGGAATTCTCTACTAATAATTATGAGCTTAAAATTGCACTGCGACGACATTCTTATAGTCAGTCGCTGCAAAAGATCGCTGTACCGTAGAACGCAATTGCCGGCAACCAGCTTAATCGAATTTTCATCAATGTAGATACGTGCGTAAATTATGTTAATCGCTTATTTATTATTAGTACCTAAATTCTATATTTACTTTAACAAAAAATAATGAAAATTGCCCTGTATGTGTTAGTAATTACAATTATGTAATATTCAAACAAAATCAGTTAAATAAACTTTTTATTATCGTTATTTCACCTTGATAAATTTTATTTGTCTAGTTGAATTCTACATGATTGATGTGACACTAAAATCAAGCATCACAGTTGTGTCGTTACTGTAGATCCTGACAGAGCATTCTTGGTGGATGTTTTTCTTCGTTTAAATTCCGATGAACCATGGAAGTGGCATCACGGCAAGACGGTCATGACGAATTTTGAGGAATTTGCCGGCGCATGCAGATTTGTCATGGTCGCCGTGGATGGTAGCGGAGCCACAGCCCTGTTTATTGTCCCCAATGAACGTGTTTGTGTACGGGATCGCATAAGCCGCTGCGTTGCTTCCCGTGACGAGAAGATTGATTTGCAGTTGGATTTGCGCAAGCTCGATATACTGAATAGAGTACGTCCATAGTTACTTACTTTATAGCCATTATAGTGCAATATTTAGCGATTCCATTCCATATGTGCATGTTATGGGACAACGCGAGAAAAATAAAAAATCAAAAAAACCGGTGTTCTACTTGTAAATCTTGTTGGGAATGTGGAAAAGTTGTTGTTTTTCTTACTTTTGTACTGTAATTGCATTGCAGATGAAATCATTGCGCCAACGCACCCTGCCGAAGAATTCGCAGTTACCGCAACCTCTCTGTAATCCCATTGCCCTGGCAAGGAAGCTTTGGGGGTGTCATTCCAAACAGGAAGAAAGCAACTTCTTCCCGGGAATCCCGGCCAATGTTGAAGTGGGCATTCAGTGGTTGCCGGCTGAAATTATGAGCGAAGTGTTTGGCTGTATAGAAACCAAGATACAACAGAGCGTTCTCCGTTCGGTATGCAGCTGCTGGAATGCCATTCTCACGACATATCCGATTAAGCGCTTCCTGATTTTCGCCGGTTCGTTGATTAAACCTAATCAGCGCTACTATAACGCGGCATGTCTGCATGCATGCTGGAGACCGGCGATTGTATTTTCTTGCTGTAAGGCGTCGTGCGACTTATCCGACAAAACCATTTTGTACGGGCCATTTCTTCGTCAAATCATGATGAAGGGCGGCCATCCCTGCGCCGATACGCTAATACTGGGCAAGGTCGTTTGGGACTTTAGCAATAACGGCTCTCCCTGGGTAACGGATTACCCAGAGGGGTTGATACGGCCTTTCTGCAGAAGTTTTTCCGCAATGGCCGTTGTATGCCAGACTCTGATTCTCAAAGATATCCTAGCAACGAATCTTCATCAGATCATATCAGTTTCCGAACCTCAACAAGATACCGACAAACCGTGGTTCTCGCAATACCTTGTGCGGCTAAAGATTCGAAATGGACGCATCCAAGGTCGGCACCTGAGCACTGGAGATTGGTGGGATTTGATCGAAAGCAGTTGTCCCACATTGGATGCATGGGAAATCCAGTCACTCTCTGACTGGATCGATGATTGGCTACAACCCGATCAAACTTCTATGGACATGCCGGATCCCGATCCACGGAACCAGTATTACGACCCCACTAGGAATGGCGCCATTCCCATTGTAAGGATAAGCTTTAACCCTTATTTCCGTAAGAAAAAAAAGTTTCTCCACCGTTTTCTGTAATCCGCATCCAACAAAACGAAAGCAGTCTCCTGAACTCTCTTGCGGTAAAATGAGCACCAGGTTAGTGCAAGCAATGTTTTTGATAACGAACCAAGCTATCCTTGCGGAGAAAGATATGGACTACCTGTTTGGACTTACATCGCACAGTAAACTCTACGTATCTTTCACGTATTCTCGTAATTTTTCATTCCCTTTCCCCACTGCCGTACCTCGCCATATTTTAGCAGTATTCTTTGGTATCCGGGATACATAAAGGATACCCCACAAATACGTTGGGATATGGCAGTGAAAAAAAGAGGGTTAGAAAACTGAAGGGAAACATGAGGTAAAACGCGAAGGATACTTACTGTAAAAAGCGGTTTGATACAGTCAATCCAAATCAAAGAAGATATAAGAGGAATTCAACGGCCGAGGCAAGCACTTCCTGCGGTCACGAGTGCGACGTCGAGTGCGACGTTACGGCTTTGGTTAAATATGGTTAAATAAGGCGCGTTACATAAGCGCCATGTTTAGCCATAACGTAAAAACTCCAGCCGGGTGACGGCAGCAAGTACAGGGGCTGCTTGCCTTTGAAGGCCCCTTATACAAATTTTACGTGTACGGAAATATTTATATATACTTATACGAAAATATTTAAATTTTAACACATGCGAAACGTGCCATGAGTGTAGCTAGGAAAATCGCGAAAGCGTTGCTACAAATTGGTAGCCTGCATACTCGCACCGCGGAAAAACGTAATGAATACTGCCTTCTTATACGCATTTTAATTTCGATTGCCGTGCAGTATTTATTAAAGCCATTTCGGATAAGGTTTACCTGTTTACGTACTGTATGTTAACCCTATTTCATTCCTTTTGAGATACTGCGGGAATTTCAAGCGATGGATCCACGTCCGAAAAATCGGTATCAGCCTGTGGGTCTGGATGATTGGAAAACGGTCAATTTGCAAGTGAACAAACTCAACAAGCTGACGCTATATGCATTACGTACGCTGCAGCTCCAACCACCATGTCCACCTAGTTGGTTGCCTGTATATCCTGTGGATGTGTACATTCATTCAATTTTTAATTAGGCCAGAATTTGAGATTTTACTTTCAAGATAGACATAATTTGCTCGCTTGCCGAAGACTTTTAGCGGAAAATTATACTGACAATGAGTGAGAAAGCGGGCTTTGGCTGATGTCAAACCATTCGTAAACCGGAATAATACACCGGTAACAACCGAACCTTCTAACGATGGCTAAAGCGCTAGGGTCTCGCCGAATTAGTGGACGGGAACAATATTGTCCAAGTGATAATTTATTACACAGTAACAAATTTGATTTCCACTGGCTCGTGCTCACTCAACCAGTGCTAGCCTTACGTGACGATGCTCACCAAGCAGTTTTTGTGCTGCAGTGCAGCATTTTTACTGTGACTTAACTTTCGGGTGAACCTTGGCGAATATTATGCGGAAAACCCTGTCGAACTGATGCTTACAAGGGTACATCTTGTGATTTTTTTGTTATTGTGATTCGTGAATAAGCCGTGGATTTTTTTAAATGTTTGTTAGTGACTATGGTTTCACCCCGGCACATTTCACAATCAGTTGTTACAGCAACATCCATGCAATCATTTGTAAAACGTTATTTAATCGATGCTGAAACACATTCTAATCTAACAAAATTCGGTGCTCTGTATTTTCACTCCAACGAGGACATTTTTAAGGCGAAAACAGCGTCAGGCAGCTTGATGAGCTATAATCGCATCGCGGTCAATGCATGTTTCACGGGTGCGATACAGTGAAGGAATGGTTCCGTCACATGGAACCGGATACCGAGATACGTAGTTTACGTGATTAATAATTAGGAGCCTCGCATTTTTTTAGAATGACAGTTGTCACTTGATACAATACCTTTTTTATGGGCCTCTTTTTCATAAGTTCATCACAGAAGAAGTTTTGTCTCTAATTTCTAAGGTCTTCGATCCCTGTTTCCCAAATCTAATTGCTCACTGAGAGAAGCTGCGGCCGGCAGCAATATTTATTTAACCACTTGGAAACCACCATTTACACTGCATTAGAGAAGCAGTCTTACTTGGTGAGACGTGAAACTTATTAATTATGGACTTAAAATGGCCTATATTACAGGGGTGCCGCGACAAGTTCGGACAGTTGCGCAAATTAAATTTAAAAATATTTCTGTACTGGTTTTTACTTTTTATTTTGCAACTTTTCTGGAGTAACTTTTTATTGCGGATCTGAATATGCTAAAATTTGAAATGCTGGGTGGGGTAGTAAGTAGCCAACCGGTTAAAACGAGGATGGGGTAGTGGTCATTTCCAGAGGGATTATAACTGACCTTCCAGAAAATTCGCCACTCTGAGCAACGGCCACTTGGCGCAGACGGTGGGCGGAGATGACTTCCCCTGTCTTCCAAATCCAGGGACCCGACGGCGTCTGCACCGAAACCTCCAGGGCGGGCGCTTAACCATTCTCTGCTGTATAAACGGTCTAGATCGTAAGACTCCACTGAAGATGGAAAGAAGACTGTCGAATGGTGCAAATTCGGGTTGTCAATCGGACAGCGCAGATAAATGAACAGACCATCGTCGACCACATCTACGACGCGTCGGGAACATTCCGCGGGCGATTTCGAACGATCACTGACAGGTATGCAAGAGCTGACGATAGCGACGGACTGCACCGAACAGAATTCGAACGCACTTGTATCAGACACAAAACAACAGCTTAATACTGTAGTAGCATAATTCTGATGCATTTAAGATGGCAAGGGTACGAATTCCCATTGCAGTTAACAGAATTTGGATGCACCTCTTAGCACACAAGTCAGAAAGACATTACTTTTGATAGCAACCAATACAAATTTTAGTTGACAGGCATGAAAACTAGTCCAGTTTGTGTGTCGTCGAATCCACTTTCCGCATTTAGCGCTCAGTGAGCGGTATCAGTATATCGCATTTGACTACTTTTCCGTTCGCTCGGGCAACAAACACAACTGGCTTTCCCCAGGAAACCGGTTAAAGCTTTAACGCCTAAATGCAAGTACTGTATAAAAGTGTAAGTACCAGTGCAAGTACTGTATAAATATACAGAGTCTGTACAAGTACTGAATATAAAAGGCTCTGCAGACGCTATATTTTGCGTGATATCTATCCTGGACAGCGGCGATCACGGAATGGACAGTAGGAGAGACTTCAAGATAGCCGACTAAATTTTGTTTAACTCGTAAAATCATTCGGCTATTAGTAATAATTATTACTGCGCTTCTGAACTATGTGGGATAGTTTTGGACGAATACTTTTCCGTTCATGACAATCCGTTTTCATTATCTCATTCCGCAGTAACTCCGTTGGACATTTTCTGCTCAACACTGTCCACCATGCCCAGCCGAATGGACCTCGACACCGCTGTGAACGTTCTGGGTAAGGATCAGCGGCTGCGCTTCGGACACGTTGTGGACGTGGCCGACGATCGTCTCTTCGTCGATCTGCTCGGTCCCCATCGGCGACGTGAATATGCACCGTTTGGTAGTGTCGCGTTGACCCGAGTGATCGACACCATCGATCTAAAAGATTTCCATGCCCAGCAAGGATCGGTCGTCCCGGTGCGGGTGCTCGTGCCGGAAACGCCAGCGGGCCCGTGGATGTGGTCCGCCGGGGAGATGGTGGTAGGGAGCATGGGATATCTGTTGGGAGGGGGCTATGTCCGTTGGCACTGTCCGCATTCCGGAGTACCGTGCACCGATTTCGTCCCCACAAAGCGCCTTCGCCCCGTTACGGATGCCGTCCTCGGAGATACCATCGGACCAGGCATCTTTATCAAAGGCCATGTGCAGTTGGGCGAGGAATTCCGCTCGCTGTCTACCGAAGCAACCACGGCGCTCGTCAACCGACTGAACGGCGCCTCCCGACGTGTTGAAACGCAAGTTGTCGTGATAGACTTCGTGGACGGCGAGTTGACATACATTCACAATCGCCGTGATGCAGAGAAATGTCAAGTGTCCGAAGGCAACGTGTCGGTAAGAGAACGTTTTTCTGCAGGCAGGTATTTGTGCTGTGCAATGGGACTGTTTGTAGGAACTCATGAACTCCCTTAACGAGAGACTGGTCAGTCTGATCAAGTCAATCCCTGACGAACCGGCTTCGGCCGCAGATAACAGCATGGCGCAGATGGCGCTCCCGGTGGAATTGTGGCAGGAGGTCTTTTCCCATCTGGACACCCTGACGCAGACGCAGCTGCGCACCGGGTGCCCAACATGGAACCGGATCATGGATGCTCCCGCGCTGCGTTCCACCATCGTCATCCGCCGAGAAGTTGACTATTTTCTCTGCTTGGCGACGGTGGGCAAGTGCCTACGTTCCGACACGCAGCGGGTTGCCATAACATACGCGAAGGGAGTCTGGGATTACGCTCAACACCCGATGTTGCTTTGCGACATCATCCGCTACGTAGCTGAGCAGCGAACCGGCATCCACCTGCGCACCGTGTACCTGCACGGCGTCCGCATGAAACTGCTGATTAACCGCACTGCCGCGGACGTTCAAGATAGCGAATGCGGCCTGCATCCGTCGGATCCGGCGCAGCCGGAGTCCAATGCGCCACACGAATGTCTCTGGTTGGAAGACTTGATGGCCACGTGCCGCAGTGTGCCGTGTGATGCCATTCACCTGACCAACTGCGACGTGTATTTGGTTGGGCTGCGCTACGCGCCTCAACGGGGTGCAGAGGATATCGGCAACGGCGATCGAATTCACCATCGGCACAGCGCAGCTGCCGCTGACTGACGGTTACGGCTGCGCATTGTGTGATGCTTTCGAGACGGCGCTGCCGTTGGTGCGTGATAAAGAAGGGCACGCGCTAATCCGACGGCTGAAACGCAGCCTGGACCGGGATCCGAAGAGCCAGCTGTCTATTGTCACCTGCCATGTAGGAATGCAGTCACAGTCATTCGATGGCGGTACATAAGTACTTGGAATAACACTTGCGCAAATTTTTTCTTCTGCAGATACTATGTGTACAAGCTTGTCCCGTAATTTCCATCGTAAAGGTACAGCTAGCACGAAATTTGCGCTTGAAACGATGGCCACGTCACTACGCTTATCTGATTGCCTAAATCCGCTCCGTAGTTAGATGGTCCATTACCACACCGACTGTTTCTTAGCCATCTTACGCCAGGCAGTTACTGTTATTCTCATTGAATTATATGGCGTGTACCAAGCCACCAGCCAGCCAAATGCATGTTACGTGTTTAAACAGTGTGGCGTGGCGCGCCGTAGTACGGATTTACGCGCAACACGTAAATTTGTAATGTTCGCTGTTCTGATGCGATGGAAATTACGGGACAAGCTTGTACTGACATCGGCCGATCCGCGTCCATCCTCCCCCTACCGCGGGAAGAAGTGGTGCGTGGACGGTCTGCGAGAGCTGCAACTGCAGTGGGACACCTTGCCGCGCATTGCCCGCCATTTCCTTTTTTGCCATCAGCTCTGCTAGCCTGTACGGAGAACTTGCGCGATTCAGCTGCACGGATTTCTCATCGTACACCGTCATAATAATTATGTGGATCAGATTGTAGTTAGCGCTGTAGAATTTCCAGTGGCTGGAACTGCCGCAGTTTCATGGGGTTGTTTTTTTCTTGATTATTTTCTTCACGAAATCGACATCTCTTTCCTTTTTTGCTGCGTGCTTTGCGATATGACCGGGGTTGTAATTCTATTTGCAGATCGAACAATGCAGTCAATATTATGTGTTTTCTCATACGATTTGGTTGTGGAGGAATTTTCATAAATTAGCTGTACCACCCATATTCTGATCGGATAGTAAGCGCGGTAGTAGCTGGCTCTACGGGTACATAATTTGCCGCTTGCTGCGGATATAACCGATAAACATTCCATAACAATCTTACGGATATCGAACGGATTCTCTCATATAGTTTATCGTGCTTTTTTTACTTCTTCTATTTATGTATTGCGTTTTTAATTGACCAATAAAAAGTACAATTCTCTCATTCCACATGACAAGCTCTAGGCGCGCTCGCGTCACGTAACCTTCGGCACGCCTGATGGTACCGACGTACCGTGACTTCCACGTAGCTGACTGACTTTACCACCGAAACCGGTTTTCTGGCTGGCTACGACTGGGTGTCTGCATGAAGTGAACAGAAAAAGAACGACTGCCGCGTTATAAATACCCTTCCAACGAACGGCAAGTGAGAATTAGTCGGCGAATGATGATTTTTTTGCCGTGCAATGCCATCCACATCGCCAACTGCCCGGTTTCACTGGCGCTCCTTGTCTATCCCGTGACACTGCATATGGGCTACCATAACCACGACCAGCTTTCACATTGGCAGCGCGCAGTGGCAGTCTGCCAGTTCTGGTTTTGACTGAAACAAGTGTTAAATCCTTAACTATGTGTTATCATTTGCGTTGCCAATATAAGCTCGGAATGCAGCCGGCATTTTTGCATTCAGTTGTTAAAGCCACAGCTATGAAATCATGTTTCTGTACCGCATCCGAAACCGTTTTGTTTTGTATGATTACTATCTATTACGACTATTAGTACCCATATAATAATTACATACTAACGTGCCAGTTGTTTTTCAACAGCCGTTTCAACAGAACAACGGCCGTCTGGTTTTTACAGTTAAGTACTATACTGCAACAGGCGTTGCTATGATTTGACATTAGCGTTTTGCAATGCTTCGGGAACGGAATGAAATGAATGGATTATAGTTCAGTGGAAAACAAACAGTCGCAGTCTTTTCTGGTAAAATGCCCAAATAAAAGTTCCACTATTTTGAGCAGATGCGCTTAACCTACTAGCAAATAGAAGAACTGCTATACAGGATGACAAAAATTGATAAAGCAAAACGTTTATGACAATATTGGACAGGACTCATAGGATTTAGTCTTTAGAAACGATTTCAAACCACATTAAATTCTGCAATGACGATGGACGCTAAACCAATTTGAAATGATTAAAGGCCAAATCGGATGTCCATAAACCAACGGATAGGAGACGATTCAGGAATGGAAGGTTGTGTCGATGCTGCTGACATAACTGTCTCTGGCTTTCTTGTATCCGTCATTCTGCATGATGCTCTTCACTTCATCCATGGTTTTCACTTCGAAGATTTTGTACAGGACTTCGTCGTTCAGTTTGGGAATTTCGCTCCAGGTAATAGATCGGCCACATCCCTTCCCGACGGCTGACTGTGGCGCTTGGGCAGTTCCGACCGAAGGTCTGGCCACTGCCTTCTTACTGTGGACCAGTTCGCCGTTGATCCATTTCAAAGCGTAGCGAAACATGGCTCTAGGTCGAAAGTCAAACCGCGTACTAACTCGATTACCGCAGGTGGTCACACCATCACAGCCCTCCGTCTTCCACCACACCAGCCCACAAAATGGGCACGCCTTAATCAGATTCCGCGGATCCGTGTTATCGAACAGATTGTACGTCATCAGCGGGGTGACGGAGTTGACGAAGCGATCGCAGATCTTGACATTCTCCCGCTGCATCTCAATGCACAGAGCGTAGTAGTCCATCTCCCCCATGGCAGCACCATGCTTCCCCACAAACTCATCGTACAGATCATCCAGATCGTACTTGAACTGGACAATCATGACGTGAAACAGCTCGTCCTTGTCTTCGTCGAGCTCCTTTTCGACGCGGTCACGGAGTCGCGAGTAACCACCCAAGAAAGCCTCCACCTGCTTCTTGTACAGCTCAAACGATTTGCGCATGTTAATCCGCACTTGATACAAGGTGAAATTGTAATGGAAATCTTCCTCAGAGATCGCCAGCCACTGCGGTTCCATGTTAGACATACAAGCGTACATTAAATCCGCAACAGCATTGGGATCGCCGCGATCTGAGAAGAAAACAATGTTGGCCACCTGCGGACTGCCTTCCATCAGCGCTTGACAGATGATAGGAAACTCTGCTCCGGGATCCCCGGCATGGTCCATATGCGAGACGAGAATGACGATTTTCCGGATGAAATTCACCACCGGCTGTTGCGCCTGCAGATAGTTGTCGACCATCTTGAAATACTTGTTCTCGTATTTCACGACGATGAAGAGCGTGTTCAGCTCCGTGGCGGTCAGTCCGGCGCGCAGCAGATGGGCGTGCTTGAACGTGTCAGTGTTGCTATCGGTTCCCGGAGTATCGATCAAGGAGAAGGAATTCGTTCCGACGCTGACATCGTTCTTCATCAGTTGATGGGTTACGCTGCCTTCGGATGCGCCAGCTAAATGGTTGGTATTACACAGCCGGTTCTTCAAGGTGGTTTTCCCGACTCCGGTTTGCCCGATCAGTATGCCACATGGCCGGTTGGAATAGCGGCGATATCGCGCGTCGACGGGGTTCTTAATCAACGGCTCAAACATTTTTTCCAGCACTTGGTGTCTGCAGTTACGAGTAGAAGAGGCTCTAAATGTCGTGTAAATTGTAAAGTTCTTCATTGTAAAACGCGTAAAACGTTGTAGCATTGATCGTACCGTACTCACCTTTCGTTTACAAACACGCAGACTGCCTCGGTAATTGCCGACCCGATTCAAAGCGACGCACTGAACAAGCGAAGGGTTTTAAAACTGAAAACTGACTGCCAGATGGCAACACTGTGGATAATTAAAGGAAACTTTTTGCGTTAAAATGCACGAGCACAAAAATCCGAAATTTCTAAAGTCATCCACTGTTCAGCTGAAGAAAGTCGCGACGCCTTCATCCCCAAAACATCGACTGTCAAACCGTCGCTCGGCATGGGAAAATTGCAGCAGAGGCAGGATAAAACGCTCTGCCGCGTGTTATCAAGCTGACTCACACTGCAGCCGCACATACAGCCAAGACAAAGGACGACAGCTGTGATTGGGCGCGCGGCTGACGTACGGGCCTACGGCGTATTACTGCACTGAAAATTCAGCATTAGCGCACGTAAAAGCCAGATGAGCGGGACGTGACAAAATCGCGTTCACAGGGCCTGACATTACGTTGTTTTTTGCTACACGATTAGAAAACAATCCTATATATTAAAGCAGAACCGTGATTCCGTGACGCTCCCGCCTCCAAAGTTTCCTGATTGGCCAGAAAAAACCTTACGTTTGTGATTGGCCGGAACCCGCTCAACAACTTTTAAGCTTTTGCATCCCCTTAAACCTGCGCTTTTACGCCTTTGTCCTTACTAAGCTCCCGAAACTTATTGCATTCACCAGTAAAACCTTCACCTGATAAACCGGATCCCACCCTTATCTTTCCTACTTACTAAGCTTCAAAACCATAGTTCTTTATCTTTATTGACTTTAACAAACCTGATAACTTTAAGTCCCACCTTTTAAGCGTTTAGTAACCGAAAGCCCCGAGTGCTTTACCTGCCCTTTCAAATCTTTCGTCACCGAAGGCCAGGCGTGCGGTACCCACGTCTTTGAGCCTTTATCATCGAATACGGGTGCGGTATCTTTTTTTGAGCCTTTGGTCACCAAAGCCACGTGCGGTACCTGCCTTTTGAGCCTTTGGTCACTGAATACGCGTGCGGTACCCGCCTTTAAGCCTTTGGTCACCGAAGGCACCGCGTGTAACGCTTTTTTGAGGTTTTGGTCACCAAAAGCCACACGTGCGGTACCCGCCTTTTTGAGCCTTTGGTCACCGAAGGCCACGCGTGCGGTACCCGCCTTTTTAAGCCTTTGGTCACCGAAGGCACCGCGTGCGGTACCCGCTTTTTTGAGGTTTTGGTCACCGAAAGCCACGCGTGCGGTACCCGCCTTTTTGAGCCTTTGGTCACCGAAGGCCGCGCGTGCGGTACCCGCTCTTTTAAAGCTTTGGTAACCGAAGGTTACGCATTATTTGTCCACGCTTTTAAGCGTTCTGTAACAGAAGAATTTCGGTTTAACCCGTTTTTTATACAGTAACTGTATTCCCTTTTCAGTAAGACTTATTTAGCATATAAAACCGTTTCACTTTGATTCGTTTAGCAAAAAGAGCCCAGCCAACAAGAACCGCCTTTGCACTGCAGCGCGGCGCGTAAGCGCCGCGCGCTGTGCTTGTAAACATTATAATCTGTCAGTGAACGATCAACAACGGCAAACGAGCTCCAACTAGGGCCCTGTGCAATTTGCAAGCGTCAGATGTTTGGCTCGTGTCTTTTTAACTATTGTAAAATTTTTCTCAGCTCACCGGATTCCTTATTGCTATTGTAAAATCTTTCTCAGCTCACCGAATTCCGTATTGCTCAGATCGTAGAATATCTTAAGTTTTCCTGCTCAAATCGCTCGCGAGCAAAATTATATGGGGATTTATTATAAAAACGCACGTTCGGTTTTTTATGCCAGCACCGCTGCATGAATTTAAAAAGTTTATTTTTAAATTAAGTTTATTTCCCGCGAAGCGCGAAGCCAACACACATTTCTACAGAAAATCGCTAGAAATTCTATAAAAAATAGTACGAAACACAAAGCAATATTCAGCTTGCTCTCGAATTCGGACTGCCGGTCGCTCGGCTCGCTCACCCATCGATAAACGACCGCTCGGCTCGACTCGGCTCGCGCCAGTAGCGGTAAAAGCTCGCTCTTCCGGCTCGCGAGCCGCGAGCCTTCACAAGCCGAGCCTCGGCTCGGCGCTCGCGCAGGGCGCTAGCCCCAACAACAGAAATTTCTTATGGATATTGACATAATTACGCTTTGATAGACTCGTATCTGTACAGTGCACTGCGCAATAACTGGTTGTTAACGGATAACAGACAGACTTCAAATTTGGTGCAATGTAGGAAATGTAATGTGTGGCAGCAAAGCATTTACAAACGATTAAATGATAATGACCGACAGAATTCACGTATCCTTCCATACAAATCAAACGAACATACCGATACTCGTTGACTAACGCATAAAACGTAACGTAAACGTTCGCTGCAACAGCCCACGAGACTCAACCATCACTGCATTCCATTTATGCAGTATTGTAGCACTTCTCATCAAGAATATGCAAACATGACCTCGCATAAACAGCTGTGAATTGAGAAGACTATAGACTGAGAATGGTGGGAATCAGTGATCCAACGCGACTGGCGCCATCCAGTTACCAACGTCTGGCTGGCACGCGCCACCACACACGCGCTCATCCGGCTAATCGGTACCGGCAGCTCGTTGGCGGCTTGCACCTCTGGCATCATTAAGACAGAGATTTAAAAAAAATCTTTAAACTGCATAAGAAATTTTTAAAAATCTATCGGGATGTAATACTGTTTTGTAGTAATGGAGTGAACTGATTTATTTTTCAACAAACGAAATTACATATTGTAACGATAGAAAATTGTAGTACTGCCAGTTTGGATTGTTAATTGCTTTTCTGCATCAGTTATTGGTTCATTCGTTCCTTGTCTTCCTCATTAAGATCATGTGAATCAGCATCTCATTGTCTTAACGCTTTACCGCTACAATCTCGATGCTCTTGACTTTTACTTTTGCGCACTAGATTCATTCTTGGATTTGCTTCTTGCCAGCTAGCTAACCTTGCTTTTTGCCTTCTTGCCCTGTGTACTTGCTAATAAGAATCTTGCCATAACTGCCATGTCTTGCGTTGTTGTTTGTAATCACGTTGAGATGAATCGTCTCATCCCACACCGTGTAGTTGTGTAATTGCCACCTTACTTCCGGTCAGCATCGCTGCTGACCGTGCCAGCCTTTTGATTGTCAGTTAGCCTTAACAGCCGCTACATCGTGGTACGGTGGATTAACCATCCCACTAGAACAGCAGTTTAACCGGCTGCTGTTGCAATATACAGTACAGATAAGGCCAAACAGCTAAGAGGTACTCTGAGTGCTTCTACGATTTCACATCAATTTCGTTAGAGGAAAAGCTACACGACCGATGAATACCGCTGATGTGATAGATATTACACCGCCACGTTTGTTTTAACCTAGATTCTGAATGCGCACCCGGTACAGTACAGTATTCGTAAATCAACGAAATGATATTATAATTTTATTCGGCTAGTTGGCCAGTGCACAATGACAATATGCCTGCGCAGATTTACACTAATTAAAAGGATTGAATTTTAAACGAAATGATACATCATGAACTGGATGCCGGCTTACCGTTAATTATGAGCTTGATAGTTATGAACTAACACAACAATGTGACGGCCGGACACATTATTGACTTTGTTCTTATTAATTATCACAAAAGAAGTCTGGTTTTGTCTATAAGGTCTTCGATCTTGATTAGCCAAATTCTAACTGCCTGCTGCAACCGGTAAAAGATTCTACCAGCTAGAAGAATCTTTGGTTCCCAGAAATATTTATTTTTCAGAATGGAAACCATCATTCTCACTGCACAGAGAAACAATTTGAGAAGTACTGTATACAAATTTAATGTGGACTGCAACCGTACTGTGTACAACCATAGGTACGCAATGGTACAGATAGGTGTAAGACTCCCCGTCAAGCAGGTCAGGGGAAGTGACCTGGCGGCTGGCACATCGTGGCAAATTCAAGTATAGACACGAAAACTTTCGCTCTCGCGCACTCCCGTACGCTGTTTTGCATCGTTTTATTGCATTCTGTGGCCAAATAATTTCCAGCCGTTAGCAAAAAGTTTTGAGTACCAAAAGTCTTATTATAAACCGATCTTTTTCAGACTTCTTTAAACTTTGAACAGGTACATAAGCATAAGGATAGTTTTCAGACAAAACCAGATTTGCATCATGTTTTTCAAATTTTAAAATGCATTTAAAAATTGCGAATATTCATTTTAAAAGTGAAAAATTGCGAGAAATCTGGTTCCGTGCAAAAACGATTTTTATGCTCATGTGCATTTTAGCGCAAAATCTAAAGTAGATCGGTTTAGGATGGCAGGGTGTAAAACCTGGCAGTGGCACCTGCCACTGGCACTGCCAATGGCATGGCGAGCGATAAAACCTGGAGACTCTGGCAACTGGCAAACGATAAAATCTGGCAGATGCCGCATAAAAGATGGCACACTTAATAAGCGGGGTTGAACCGTACACTTCTTTAAAATGTTGTCAGTATATAGTGAATTTTTCATATAAAGTGTTAACACATTACTGGCCATGCACGAAGTGCGTAAGTAAGAGCCGACATACAGAATTTTGTAAGGTCACATTCTGCTTCGCCGTTGGCGCAGAGTTCAACAAAAAAAGAATGACAAGAGGCGCTAAAAATATAATCGCAGTACGTCCAGATCTAGCAAGCACGCCGCTGAAATACGGTTTGCGGTTGAACGCGGTGCTGTAATCAGTTAACAACAGTGAAAGTAGGCTGCAGTGTTGACTGTTGACTGAACCCAAACGGATCAGTTCAGTAACAGGCTACCAGCACGATAGGCGCTGCAGCTGGCACACTACCTGGGTCCTGCTTTTACTCGACTTTCGTTGCGTTCCTTATACAAAAGGCGTACCAAAAGTAGGTTTCCCTATTTTTGCCTCTCTGCCATTTGAAGTAATAGACATCTGATATTTTTTTGTTGTATAAGCAATTATGTAAGCTAACTAAAGAAATAAGAATCAAAAGATTCCATGAAGAAATGGGGAAACGGAAAATAGAATAGCGATTGCTACTTTTGCAGCATTTTCCACGGGTTTTTTCGGAGCTCGTTCTTTTTATTGCCACTTCCGTCCCTCTTACAATTTCTACAGAAAATTTAAAGTAACAGCTTGAGAAACTATTCTCAATATTACTGCGATGTCAGAATGTTTTGAAAAATTTACAGAGTAGAGCAAACATTTTTTTCTCCAAGACACCAGAATTCCCCTTTACAGCCTTCTTGCTGATATGAATCCAGAGTTCTTTGCATCAATGAAAAAGAAATTTTATGAGCAGTTATACTCATCTTAGACACCAATCACTTCGAAGTCTTACCGACAGCAATAATGTTTTACAAGAAGTTTTCAGTTTTTTACCGTCTGGAACCTTGAGCAGATTTGTGGTTTTCCCACCTAGTCATCGAGAGTTTTTAATTTTCTGGAAAAGCAGTATGAAAAAGTTATTTTGTTTCGTACTTGGAATTAGGACAGAAAAGAAATCCTAATCTGATGAAATTTAGTGTTTTAAGAAAAATGAGCAAGAAGACTGAGAAAAAAATCAAAAACTGTCTGGGTAAAACACGTGGCAAGGAGCGGATAACCTCGGACGGTTTTCTTGGCAGTCCTTCTCCATTTAATTGTAGTTAAGTACAGTTATATGTATTTTATTTCGGTACGTTAATAAAGGAGGGTTCTAAAAATATGGTTCATAAGAGTTACAAGCGTTCAGGCCGGGAGATACAAAATAGGGAAACTTACTTTTGGTACGCCCTTTGTACCTCCGGCAAAAAAAAAACAAAAGCAGTGTCACTGAAATTTAAGGTATGCCGGTACATGGTGCAACATTGGTGTATATAAACGAACACTTTCGCTTTCGCGCACCCCGGCACCCTTAACCTTTTTTTCCTAGTTTTTAGTCATTCTGTAGTCAAATAATTCGTATACAGTGGCCTGAAAACCCTTTATGTGCAACGCACATAAAGGGTTTACAATATGTTCTGGCCTGGTTTAGCTGGCTTATAACGTTGTTGGCGTGGAGGCTGAACAACGTTATGAGCCAGCTAAACCTGGCCGGAAACGATATTTTTATTAGCAGTTCGCTTTGCTGTTTTCGTAATGCGCTGAAGCATGTAACCATCACTAGATGCCTTTCTTTTCTTAGTACCTCTCTAGTATTAGTGACTTTTGCTACAATTTCATTACAATGCCTGTTGTTTAGCCAGGTTTAAATTCCCATGCTAGATGTCGATCCTAGCCTTTAATGGGTTACCTGCCTACCGTACAATAAACAATAAGCAACGCAAAGCAAAGCAGATCGACTGTCTTAAAAATTTTGCCTGGAAATACCAATTTCCCGGAAGATCACCGAGTCCGGTTGTTATCATTTGATTCAAATTTCATGTATTTTTATCTGAGATCCATTTACTTAGCCGATCCGATTCAGGCAGCTTCACGCTCAACCGCAAATCATTTTCCAGCGGTTTGCTTTCTAAATCTGGTAGTGCCGCGATTGTATTTTTTGCAACTCGCCTTGCGATTCTGCTTAATTGCGATACTTCGCGCAAACGGCAACATGCGATGTGACCTTTTGAAACTGTTTATGCCGGCGCATACTTTCGAACTTCGTACATGGCTAGTAAGGGTGTTAACACTATATATGTAGAACTGACGGTACACTGGCAAGCTTTTCAGGAATTATGCAGTTGACCAAACTCCAAAACCCGCTTTTTAATTGTGCGACCGTGCCACATTTTATGCGGCATCTGCCAGATTTTATCATTTGCCGGCTGCCAGAGCCTCCAGGTTATATTGCTTGCCATGCCACTGGCAGTGCCATTGGCAGGTGCCACTGCCAGGTTTTACACCCTGCCGTTTAGGATGAGACGTTTGCTGCAGCTTATTGCTTTTAAACTTTTCGAAATTTTATTTCACTCCTAATTTCCTAACTTCCCAACCGGATGCTTGCGCGCATAAATGGTTTTCAGACCAACATATGTAAATAATTTACAGAATGTAGTAAAACGATCCAAAAAAGCGTTAAGGAGTGCTCGAAAGTGGAAGTTTTTGTGTATGTACCAGGATTTGTCACCATATACTGTACCGGGTCACTTCCCTTAGCGCCAGGTGCGCACGTTTGGCGAGGGCGGATTCGCTATGAAAGTTATATTTTTTGTAGTATCGTACTTGCTTTGAAGTTTGGAGTTCCCTTCAGCAGCCGATGTCTCAGTCATGTATTTTGCACCCAAACCTTCGGTCATCAATCAAATAATGCTGCTTGAATCGTACATTTTTGCTTCCAGAATGTTCATGACATAATTATGAGCAAAATTGATAGAGCCGCTCATGACTTAATTAGAAATCGAGTTAATTTCTACATTCACATCAAAAGAAAACGCATTGAGTGACCTCGATTGCAGTTGTAGCGTACGCAAGGCATGCAGCGTGAGCTTGTTGAGTGTCGTCAGCTTCGGACTAACTGCTTTCCACTTATCCACATTCACATTGCGATGCTGGTTACCAGAACGTGGGTCCATCCTTTGAAATTCCTGTAATATCTGAAACCGAACGACATGCGAACAAAAGTGAACGATACCAAGTTAACGATATAGTAACCCGTAAATACCAGATTCGTAGTACTGCGCGATTGCTTGAATTTCGATCGTCTACGTGGGAAGTGAAGAGAAAGCGGGGAAGTTGTTTTAAATAGTCGCTCATTTACAGTAACTACACTTAACAGCAACTTTTACATTTTGGAGATAGGACAATACTATCGCTGACCGTGAAACCGTGAATTCGAATATACTTTGTAAATACACATGCTTACAATAGGAATAGCGCCATTTTTTTTGTGATCGTAACTTGCATTCCATTGCCAACGGTCGGTAGACGTTTCATCCAACTGTAACCAGTCATCGATCCAATCGGTAAGTGACCGAAGTTCCGGCGCATTCAATGTGGGGCAGCTATTTCCGATCAGATTCCACCAATCCTCGATGGTCAGGTGCCGCCCTCGGAAGCGACCATCTCGAATATTCAGTCCCAAATGGAAGTTCGTGAACGGCGGTCTAAAATCTCGATAAGTTTCGATATTAAAGTATACGCTCGTTACATGACCATCTCTGATGATCAGAGTTTGGCATACAGCTGTCAATAGGCACAAACTTTCACAAAAGTTCATCATCAACCCTTCTGAACTCGACGTCATCATGGCCTGGCTCGGGTACACACTCCATACGACTCTGCCCAGTATCAAAGCCTCGGCAGACGAATGGCCACCTTTCTCCATGATTTGGCGAAGAAATGGTCCGTGTAAGATACTGTCACTTTTTGGAAAGTGCGAAACCCACCAACCAGAAAACACAATCAGCGGACTCCAACATGCATGCAAACGGGCAGCAGTAGAGTAGCGGTGATAGTAAACAGCCAGCGGCCCGGTGAAAATCAGTGATCTTCTAACCGGATGGCACGTGAGAATGGAATTCCAACCGCTGCACACGGAACGGAGCCTACTCTGTATCCTGGTCTCTATGCAGGTGAACACTTCCTTCATAATTTCACCCGGTAAACACTGGATGTCTACATCAACAAGGGAAGAGAGCACCGGTAAATCGTTTTCTTCTTTTTTAACATGTTCCCAATACTTCTTTTCCTGGGTACAGGGATCGCAGAAGTCTTTCTGCGTTAGTGAATTCTTCGAATGGTTTATCAAATGCAAGGATTTTATCTGAAAAAGAAATACAAAACCTGGCGTTTTCCATGTACTGTAACTGTATATCCGCTCTACAATAACGATTTTGCTCGAAATCGCTTTGCTTATCCGAACGACGGTAATTTCGTGGAAAAATCGGTTTTCACTTGGTTTTTGCATTATGCATGACATGGGAAGGGCTCACCGATAATCCAACATAATTTCATTAATTGTACGATGTGCGAACTTACGTTATTCCACATCCGAAGTTTTCGCAAATTCAACCGCAACTCCATTTTCTCTAAAAGCGATTCAATGGGTTTGGCCGTGGAAACCGGTACGCGAACACGGTCTTTCGGGAGAACAAATAATTTCGTGGTACCCCCACCATCCACTGCAACCATGACAAAACAGCATGCGTCGGTAAATCCAGTAAAATTCGTCATAACCATCGTGCCGGAATGCCATTCCCATGGTTTATCCACCGCCAGACGAATGAACGCTTTCACCGGAAATGTCTTGTCAGGATCTACGATACGAGCTCGTTGCTATAATTGCAGTGCATTTTTTTTAGTTAGGTGGCCACTCGACTCACATTCTTTCGTACAACCTATCACTCGGTCCACTATCTTTTTACACAACCTTGTACTCCGTTCAAGACCTTTTCAGGCACACCCTTTCGTTGTGTACGACCTCTGGACATTACCCTTGACACTGCTTAGAACCTTTCCTGATATTACTCTAATGATCTCAGCATGCTATTACTCCCTAACGGCCTCCTTAAGTCTCTTCCAGTACATGATGTCACCGCTGAATCCTTTCCGTAAATACCTAATTCTGCTGCGAATTTGAACGCAGGAAATCTGCATCTCTGCGGTTTATTTGGCCTTGGATAGCAAAGCGTTTTTACTTTGCTTTCGTTATTTTGTGCGCCGCAACACTTGAAAAGCTCCAATTTTTCCTACCACGTAAGAATCTTTCCAAAGCTATCGTAAATAGGGACATATAAGATGCGTTATGGAGGAGGATGTTACTAGGTACAACATGTTATGTTGTATTCAAAAACTTTTGTGAACGGAGTGAATCGTAGTGTCTGAAAAGGTAGTGGGCGGAGTGAAAAGTGTGGAAAAAGGTTCTGAATGGAGCTAAAGTTAGTGTGTAAAAAGATGGGGGACCGAGTGAAAGGTTGGGCGAAAGGTTGTGAACCGAGGTTGCGAACGGAGTGATTGCCTTCCATTTATCAGGTAGTAACCAGCCGATACTTAATCCTTGCTCGCGTCCGATTACTTCGGCCGCATTACATTTCGGCCGCACAGGCTCACCTCGGCCAACACCCATTTTGGTAACCGGAAATTTCGGCCATATTAGGTTTTCTTATGTTTTCTTAGGATTTCTTAAGGTTTCTGGATGATTTTATTAGCACAAGCCAGTCTCATAGCAAATTTTGTTAACGAAAACAGGAATGATAGTCTATAACAGAAAAAAGTTATTCGGTTTCTTTGCTTTGTTAGGCTTTCTTTGTTTATTTTTATGTTTATAAAAATAAACAAAGAAAACCTAACAAACCGAATAACTTTCTTCTGTTATAATTAATTTTATCAGTCCTGTTTTCGTAAAGAAAATTTGCTGTGGGACTGGCTTGTGCTATGTTTAGGTGTCTTCAGATTTCTTAAGTTTATTTTGGTCAAGTCTCTTTACTTTTTGTCCAATTTCTTAGGTTTTCCTGGGTTATTTTAGGATTTTTGTTTGGATTTTTAGTTGCCTTGTGGTTGTGTTTTCGTAGCTTTGCAGCACTGGCCTGTGACATTATTGATCAACCTTGTAACGGTCGGCACGAGGTGTTCATTTTAATAAATGGGTTAGGGAGATATGGTGGTGAGAGTAACCCGTCAAAAACTGCTCCCAAAATCGTGTGTGCAAAAAGTAATCGAAAAAAGAACTAATACGCATGTTCAGCGAGAACTCGCACGCTGCAGAATGAATGTTTATGTACATACCTGTTTATTGTTTATGCACATCTATAAGCCGTACTTCGGCAGAAATATACTGTGGCCGAGTAAATTGAAGCCGAAATGAATGTTAGCCGAAGTGAATGGCGGCCGCAGTAAATCGCGACCGAAGAACTTCGGCCGAAATAAACGTGGCCGAAATGAGAACAGTCGAAGTGATCGGTAGTCAAAACTTGAAACTGAAACATTTTGCTGCTGTGTTACAGAAACTTGACGCTTTTCAACCTACCATTTGAAGAATGAGTCTCGCACCAACAACAGAAGCGTTGCGCCATCGGCACATATCAACAGGTGCATTCAGCTGAATCCACAATGTACCCCGGGGTTTGTTCAGCCCGTAATTGACCGTCTGGTCGCGAGTGAAACAACCAATGTCGAGGTTCAGGAACTAGTTCCTTGAGACGGCATTGTTTACTCGAATGACTATCTGCAGAACAATGTTTACAAACCATATTACGCTCACATAATCAATCGTTTCTCTAAAATGTATACCCGTACTTCTACTCTACAGAGAAGATGAGCGATCCTTAATATTCTTATTTAGACTGAAATGGTTTGTTACCCATCGCCTGTACCGCACTGGAACCTTTCACCGACGCACTAGATATCTTCGAATGGGAAACATTGTCGTCAGCGAAAAAATTGAGAATCTTTTGGGAACGGGAATCATTTGAGATTGGGAACCTAATGGAATCTGTTGGAAATGGGGAATCTATTGAACTGCGTATGTGCCCTGTTGAGATGCCTGCTTACCATGTCATATTAGTATATTTTCGCTTGTTAGTGTTTGTAGAAAAATTAGTGAAACGTTGGGCGACAGGGAAGCGATACCGGCAGAGTTTATTTGTGTAAATAAATTTGGCCCCACTTGGCCAAATTAAACCTTTTTCGAAACAGGAAAATTGCTCCAACTGAGCGGATATACATTACTTACAACATATGATTTTGGAAAGTCATTACTGTAAGCTGAAAGTATTTTTGCACTAGTCTTCCTTTACGCTATCTTTACTGAAAGCTGCTGATTATATTTAATTTGCAAATATAAACAGGCCCGTCTTTGGGTTGCGGAGCTCCGTCTCTCACTGTTTGCTTGCGCGCTCGAAGCCAAAAAAATTTTTTTGCCGGCTCGCCACTTAGGGGGCGTCTAGTTTTCGTCTTCTCCTCCCCTTAGAAGGGCGCGTCATCCCTCGCTATAAAGACGGGCCTGTGCACAGGGATACAGAGGTGCACAGTGCCACTGACCTTCATCTCTACGTATGTATATGAATAGTTCCTTAATGTAACGGCGTATAGAGTACTCACGGACACGATCGTCGACACAGTGACGTTTGCAGTAAAGAAAACTCGTGCACAACTCGTCCGATTCGATAGAAATCTTGTATTGCCCGCTGAACATAACGTTTTCCATTCCGGTCATTGCTCCGCTCGGTATCTCAAATTTTTTCCCGTATCCTAGACTTGTACTCAAGGTTTTCGTGTGTACCGGAGCAGAATCAGCCTTTTAGTACATCTAGACATTCAAGGCTTTTAACAATAATGGGCGAGCCGAAAAAGCACAAACTCCGGCTAATCCACACTCTGATAGTGTAAACTACAATGAAACAGTTCTTCTGTCCAATAATTATATGTAACATCACACAATATTATGGTTCGTTTGCAAATCTTAATCTGGTCGTCAAACTAGAGTTATGGGTATGCGGTTGGATGTACCAGACGATGGTAGAAATTTTTATTCACTTTCCTCAGTTTCCTGGTAGAACCATAGCTGCCGGCCATATGATTTCATCGCTTTTGCTCCATAAGCTGTGTGTAAAAGAATACCGGCCTCGGTCTGTTTTTTTCATCAACACACACCAAACGGTCTGTAGCTAGTACATCATACGCACTCTAATGTCGGTTACGAAGTACTCTGCAACTGGTTAGCATACAGAAGCAAAACTTGCAGTTGACTTCGGCTTCTGGCCAAGAAAACGCATTGTTATACGGGTTTTATAGGTACGGCATAACGAATTACATGGCATAATTATTATAACATCTCTGTACTTTTGCCACAAATTGAAGCCCTTATTATTCAATGCTATACATAACTGAGTAGAGGTATGTATTATCTAAAATCGAATGTTTTCGAAGTTACACAAACTACCGCACTACACTTCTGAATTTCCTCTCCGAATTTGCTGGTGTGGCTGCTGTATCATTCGATCATCGTGAGTGCGTAGGTTCGAATAATCCATTTCCAAGAAAAATTTTCAACCAATTTATTCAGAAACAATTCCGGTCTGATCGTATGCGCATTGTAGTACAACATCCGGTATGTTAATGACATCACGCAGTTATATCTGATTCGGATTTGTACACTTTGATATCGTTAGGACCGCGCGAAACAGTCGCGTACCGCGCTAAACTGCTAACCGAACGTGATTTACTGAGAATATTGTTTAATGACCGCATGACGGATGATTGCCGGAAGAGACCGGCTGCTTGGCGTTGACAGAAAGGATACCGCTGTTCCGCCGGAAGAACTTCGTCTTTGATCTGCGACTGTAGCAACTCTTCCAGTACATCTTCCAATGTCACAATGCCCACGATTTCCGCGGTGAAACCTTCGTAATTTTCGCCTGCAGTGATCTGCTCGACGAAAGCCATGTGAGAATGACCTTTCTTAAAAATTTCTGTGCAACAAAAGTGTTAACATAAACAATTGTCTGAAAGTACACCTGGTCACCACCACGCCGCTACTCACCTAATATTTTATCCAAACTGGTATTATCATTAACCGTTATTACGTGGCGCTGGAAGAATTTGCAGAGGATCTTTACTGGAGTCTTGTTGCGATAATCCAGCATTGTCAGGTCCTTGATATTTAATACAGCGACAATGTTACTGCGAGTATCGTCGTACACCGGTATTCTGGTGAAACCTTGAAAATGCCCTCTGTATCAATAACCACAATAAGGTACACGGTGTACCGTACACCCAATTTGTCCATATGTTTATTGGTAAATGTATGTTATGCATGCTATAGCCTTAATAATTACAGTTAATTAATTTACCTTGTTGTACAAAATTTGACACTGTGCCTGCATCCAAAACAGCGTCATAGTTAATCATAAATACGTCTTCCAACGGCGTCATAATCTCGCCCGCCGTAACCTGCTTCAACCTTAAAACTCCGGAGATGATGTTTATTTCATCTTTTTCCAAATCGCTCAATCCATGCCTAGACAAAAAGACAGCTAGCATAACGTTTCAAAGCCAAGTCAGCTTTCATCGCTTACGTTACACGAAGCAGCTCCACGAGATGTTCCCGGTTATACACACGTCCCGCTTCCGCTCCCAGTATCCAGTCCAACACTTTACTGATGGGATACGACAAAGGTCCGGTAATCAACATAAAGAACCTGGTCAACAACACCGTGTTGGCTCCGACCGCCATCCCATGGCGGGTGCAGATGGCTTGCGGCACAATCTCCCCGAAGATGACAATAACAAACGTCGACACCACTAGCGCAACCGGGCCGGACGTTAAATCGTCGATTAAGATCGTCAGGGTACTGTTTACCAGAACGTTGCCCAACAGTAAGGTACAAAGTAGAAAGTTGCCGTGTTTTCGTAGCGGAATGATAGCGCGTGCGTAGCGGCGAATACGCGGAGTGCCGCAATTTAAATCGATTTTTAATTCGGTGGGGTCGAGGGAGAGCAAACCCAAATTGAGACCGGAGAACAAACCAGCAAGAGTCAGAAGGGAGACGATAACGAATATCTGCAGCCACAGCGGCATTAAGTATTCTCGGGGCTTTGGATCGGGATGGACGTGCACTTGCAGCCAGGGTTCGCTGTTCTGGCTTGTCCAGTTACCATCGGCCGGAATTTTCGTACAAAGCCGATATTTATCTGTCAATGCGTAAAAAGATTTTCATCAAGCGAAAATTCGAAGTTCCATGATTTTATTTGCATTAAAAACGCTTTTACTGTATCACTTCCCCGAACTACTGTAAGTCTGTAACTTCCGAAAAACAAGTTTCGCCGCATCGTTAATGCAATTAAAGTATGATTTTCTGCAGTCACTTAGGCGATTTTTAGAATCGTCGGAAATTTTATTCCATAATGAAATACGAAGAAGTAAACAAACACTAATAAAGTAGTAAAAATATTTGAAATATAACTGTCGAGTCTGCCTAAAATACGCTTTTGTAAGAAAAAATCCAGCGTCGAGCTTTGTTAATATTACTTTGTTGTTTTACTTTATTTATTTCTGATGCGTTATACCGACTTGATCGTCCTCATTGTGGGGGAACTTGACGGCAAAAACCGCTGTGTTGCCGCTTACACTGCCCGTTTTCGGCCGAAACTGCAGATTTATGTTGCAGTCCTCTGAGGTTTGCGAGAAGGACAGGAGCATGCTCGGTTGGAAATTTATTCCAAACACGCGGAGATCGACGTCTTGTTCTGGCAGAACCGTCAAGGCGCCGGCGCTATCGGTCAGCGACTCCTCGTCATTTAGCCGAAATCCAAGAATTATGGGCTTGGAATCGGCAAACAGTATGGTGGAGTATGTGTTGGGAGAAGGTTGCCGGTCCGTCAGTGCGCAGTCATAAACGCTTAATTTCGCGCATAAATAACCAGCAAATATTATGACGGTCTTCATGGCGATGACTTGATGCCGGCGTCTTGCTCAGCAAGCAATAAAAATAAACTTTAACTAAATTGTGAAGGTCTATTTTTCGTGCGAAACTGAAAGAAAACTGCGGAACTATTTGTGCAGTTAATTAATTGTAGGTCTAGAAAAGGCTATGTACAAGATTAAAGTTTTAATTAGGAATATCGGCAACCGGCGTGCTGATTTCTCAGCAATCGTTGAATAACAACAACAGCACACTGGTTCTGAAGTGCTGGACAACAGTATGACCTATGAACGATAAGATAAGCCATAGTGTAAAAGCAAAATGTGCCAATTACTTGTACAGCTGTAAATTAGCGGCAAACCAACACATAAGAGTAATAGAGCACGCAATGCCATATAAGCGGTTGGAATGACTTGAGCTTTTAAAAGCACAATAATCAAAGAAATACAAAGAAGTATAAGTACTTAAGATACTTACTTGTACTTTAAAGTAATAAGTAACGTTATTACGGTAATAATGGTCATGTTTACATTATTCGCTGGACGGTATTGTGGTTATGCGACTACCCGGTCATAGCCATATCGGTGTTTTCCGTGAAGACCTTCGGGCAATCGAGGCAGCAACGACCTTCACCAAAATGTCACAGAGTACGTCAGGGTGCTTAGAAAATGTTTAAGGTCAAAACGCCGCAAGTATTTGCATCTTGAGATTTGTTTGTGCTTGCAAAGAATGGCAAAACCTATTATTATTAGGGTCACTTCTATGCGCCAGCAGATTTTTTCATGGCGCATAGCACTTTCGCATATTATTATTATTACTCATATGATCGTCTTCACTGGTGAAAATTTACAATTCGTAAACAATGTAATTATAAGAATCTAGTGAAATAATAATTATGTACGTAATACGGTAAATGCACTCTTGAAAGGAAAGCTGCTGCGTACTTTGAAGTGAAAGTAATCACAATAATGGTATCATGAACAATGCTGTGTTTCTTTCAACAAACAGAAAATGTAATCTCACTGCATCTCTATCGAGCATGCAAGCGTCCAGTGTCGCTTCCGTAAACGTAAGCTAATTATCCACATCAACGGATCAAAGAGGATCTGTAGCGTGTAAAGCGTATGAAAGGTCCGGGATACCGCCAGGGGAATCGGCATCCCGAGGAACCACTGGCAGAAATAAATAACATCCAACGGCAGCCAGCATACAATCACCCCGACAGTCGTTAACGTCAGCACGAGAAACGGTCGCACGACGTTCCGGTGCACGAGCGACGTCTCGACGACGGTCAGCCGGCGTGAGGGGTCAGCAGCGCCCCCACTGCGGGTGCCCCGTCGCAGCGGCCGTTGGCCACTATCCGGGACGCTAGCGATCTTCGTTTGACGCCAGTATCGCTTGATAATTAAATGAACGTAAATAAAAATGATTAAAAAGAGCGGAGCAAAGCGGTTGAGGAAGGTGTCGACGCGGGCCCACTGCACCACCTGCGGAATTAGCGAATCCCGGCAGCGGCCATTCGTGTAACGATAGGCTGCGTACGTAAAAAACGGCGGTAAACAGATAATGTGCACGTACGCTGCCATTCCAAGACAAATTGCCGTAGCCACTTTTTTATTATGCCGATCGCGGTAACATAAGGGATACTGCAGGGCCCAGAAGCGGTTGACGGCCACCAGAAAGTGGCACATTAGTGGAATGATACTGGCTACGCGCTGGATATAATTGAAAAATATACAAACTTTGAAACCCAGTTGACCAATATCATAACCAGAGATTTCGCTCCAGAACAGCAGCGGCTGTGCACCGACTAAATACACCACATTTGCCATGTACAGGAATAACAGATAAATAGTAAAATCTGTGATGAAGGCGGGTTTAATCATATGGAAGATGAGGAGCGCGGAGTTCAAGCAGAATGACGAAGCAGCGATGGAGATCTGTGCGCCGAAGAGAAATAGTGAGGGTTCGGCTGACACCGGTTCCGTTGAATTCGGTGCAGTGTGGTTATTAGTGGTGTTCCGGATGAGCGACATTTGTCCGATGAGCTCCATCACGACGGTCGGCAGCGGGTGCGATGAAATACTTTGTAGTTTCTTGATCGGTGAAAATATAGACCATGGCCAAATAATAATTTCCTAACGCCGATAAATTCTCATGATTTAAATATACTTATGTAAACAGCGGTTTAATAATCGCTGATGCTTCAGTTAAAAGAAACTGACCTTAACCATTTATTTGCTTAGAGGAACGTATCAATGAGAATGCTTGCACATTAACAATAAATTAGCAGATTTAAGACGCCCACTGTGTGTGACTACCGCGACAAGATTTGCTGGCTTACCGTAACACAATTCAGACACCCAGGTCGAAAATAATCTTATTGAATTTCTTGTGCGCACGCAACCCGCCTACACCAGTGACGAGGGAATTTCTAGCGGGCTGGAAAACATTGGAATAATAACGTCGCATGTATCGTGTTTCCGGTCAAAATAAGGACAGAAAAATAATCTCCGTTACCCGACGTCGGTCTCGCACAAAGGAAATGCCCGTGTTCAAACGTGCATTACGGTATGTCGACATGATCTAAGACATGTACTCCAAGTGATTGTATGCCTTCAGACAAAAATATCATCATCATTCTAAAGTGTTATAGTACAATAACTTACTTAACTTAATACAGTACGACTTCAACTGGCCAAAAGCGGGCGAAAGAGTTTTTTAAACAGCGAATATCTATGCAAATACAAGGGGGAAACGCGATTTGTGTAATGGGTACGATCCCCGATCAGGATAGCATAGAGGAAGTGTTTCTTTTGTAAATGCCGTTTTGTTCTGGTGCATAGTTTGTTTGTAGTTTGTACTCGTAAAGGTTAATTCCTCGTACTAGTGCGAGTATATACGGTGTGAGCATTAGGAATGGGGAAACTCCCGGCATAAATCTGCCTCGACACGACCAACACGAACCGGATGCACGCAAATTTTGAGTAACGCCAAAATAATTATTTGTTGATAACAATATGTTTGCTTTTCTAAAAGGGCCTTTAGGAAGCGACACTATCTACTTAAATGACAGTGCATATAGCGAAAAAAATACCTGTACTGGTTCTACATAACATTTAATTGTTGCACGTTTTACGGTAAAGGTCACGAAGCTCATCCACAAGAGCAGCGCTGGTAATCCGTTCCGAACAGTCGATCGTTAAGCAGCGGCGTATGGTCGACGCGAGAGATTTGCAAATTGATCGCTGCACTAATGGAACGTATCCCTGGGTTAATTTAAACAAAAAAGCATCGGAGGAGAAACTTTTCCGCTGAATTTTGTCGGTCTTAATTACACCATCTCGTAACTGCAGTTTGCGGAAGAACCATCTGCTCCGAATCCCGTAGCAGCAGTCAATCAGGTCATGAATTACACAGCCTAGGCTCCAAACGTCAGTAGGAAACCCAACCGGTGCGTGGTCCTGCTCGCATTTAGACATCACCATCTCCGGCGACATGTACGAAACCGTTCCCCCTATCTTCAATTCCATGGGATCTGGGTGATTACTTACGTGAACCGCTCCATCCAGATCTCCGATAAGCAACGTACCGTTGTGTTGCGAAGGGTTCAAGAAAATATTGCTGGGTTTTATGTCGCCGTGAATGAAGAAATTTCGATGAAGAAATGCTAGACCATTTGCTACCTGCATAGCGTTGCTTATCATGAGATGTACGGTTGGACGGTTTTTATTCTGCTTGCATCGGTCAATAAATGATGAAAGGTCACCACCTAAAAAAATCACAGTCTAATCAACAACTAAAATTACCAAAATTTCAATATAACGATTTCAGAAATCCGGTTTTTCAATGTAGTATTCTATTCGTAATACTGATTACAGGGCTTTATCGTCACGAAGTAAAGAGACGCTGTTTTTTAAGCATTCACGCAAACCCGGGCGGCGCCTTTTCGGCATTACATTTTAAATTTAATGTAGCCGTTTCGCGTTATTGCATTAAAAAATTCTTTCAGTTTCGCTATAATACAGTACCTTTGCAACAATCCATCATAAAGGCTACCTCCGCCCCTCTGATTAGCTTTCTAACCGTAATTCGGTGGTATGCCACTAAATTTTCGTTTTTCACACCGAGCAGCAGATTCCAATGGTCCTTAAGAGTTTCCCAGGCATTTTCTCGTTTAAGTCGCTTAACGCGAACACTGTCCAGAAAAATTTCTTTGACAGCAATGAGACTGTTGCCGACATAATTACCACTGTCGGCGATTCTGGCCTTGTATACCGTTCCAAACCCGCCTTGTCCAATAAAATCTTCAGGAAAATTATATTCGTACTGGCATGTGCAACCGATGACCTCCAGCATTGGTCGGTGCGGATTACTATCTGTGAGGTTGTCGTCTTCGGAATCAACAGTCTTAACATCGTACATCCACGTGCTTCCATACGTATACTCTTCAATCTCCACGATTTTGTTCAACAACTTCTCATCGGTAATTCTCTGTTCACGGTTATTCTGCAGACACTGATTGATAATATACGCAAAGTCTTTGGGAAAGCTGTCCGATGTATACAGCGCGTATCCGTTGGAAATCGCTCGCAACAGCTTTAACGGAAATCGCCGGTCGATTTTCATGCGGTGCTTCGTATCGTGGTTCTGTAGCTCCACGTGCTCATAAAACTGGTTGACGTCAAACGCGCAGCGTGCCAGAAAATACATGATACAACCCAAACTCCAGATATCGGTCGTGCGGTCAACTGGCAAGCGTGGATCGACCATCAGCTTCTTGATCATCTCTGGTGACATGTACAGGCTGGGAGTGCGCGTTGGGCTAATGTTGCTGGAACCGGAGAACGACAACAGTTCCATGTCCAGTTCTACGTCGAGATCGCAGATGCGGAGGTGGTTACGGTTGCCCATCGGCCGGCTGACCAGCACGTTGCTGGGGTTCAGTTTACCGTGGATGATCGTTTGCCGGTGGAGATATGCTACACCGGAAGTCAACTGCTGACAAATGTCAAGAAGCATTTTTACGTGCAGTCGCTTCTCGTTCCATTCGAATCCGTCAATCATACTGTGCAGATTGCTGCCTATCAAACAATAGCGCTTTATGAAATTTCAAACAAAATAATATAAATCTGGTCCAGGACGATTTTAATGTCGTCATGTTTATTCCTTTTACAACAGAACTTTAAAAGATTCGGATGACAGCCTGATTTTCGGGTTTTTGGATTTTCGGTACTCGCCAGTGCGCTTAAGCTTTTTATGCGTTTTAATTCTTACACCTAAATCTGATATGAAGTGATACTAACAAAAACATTTCGAAATGCGCGAAATCGAAAGTTTAGTGAATGTGTGCCGAGTGTTATGTTGCCTGGGCCGAGTCATACTTCTCATTTAATCTATCACAGGCTTTGTTAAGCAAATGCAGTGCTCACCATCGCAATAGTCCATAAGAAATTCCATGTATAATCCATGCTGATGCATCAAGCCGTGTTTTCCCTCCAACCGATGAATGGAGATCTTATGAAACGCCACGACATTTTCATGCCGCAAGCTGAGCAGTTTGTTCCCGCGCTGGATGACATCACGCCGCTGATCGCGGATGTAACTGCCGTTCAGTTGTTTTATGGTGTTCTTAACGACTGGAATGGTGACCTTCTTAACAGCCACAACATCATCGCCGGCGAAATTTCCCCGCTCGGTTATAATCGCTTTATATACCGTGCTGAAAGGTCCTCCGCCTATAATGTCGTCCTTATCATATCGGTAACTGCAATCGGCGCCCAAATCCAGCAGGATTTTGTCGTATGCAGGTTGGATCGTCTTCTCACAGTCATCACAAGTAAATGCATGCTCGGCTACCTTGTTCTCAGTATCCTGCATGGTATAGCACAGCCACGAAGGCAAGAAAGGGTTTACACCACAATATTAATTGCCTGTTCAGGGTTTCAAAGGAACATTTTGCGCTGCAGTAGCTGGGAAAGAATGTTGGGTATATTTTACGACGTTAACGGATTCGGAAGTACATACTTCCGGGTCGCACGCCCAGATTATTAAGTAGGTGTTAGGTCAGACCACGCGTAAAAGTGTAAATAATGCGCAATATTAAAGTTCCCTTTGACGGTGTAGATGGACGTGGTTCGCGCACGAAAAAAAACGTCGAAGACTTTCATGGAGTGCAAAGACGCAAAGCTGACAATCGCCACCGTAAATCAATTAACACTAGTGCCGGTGCAGGCGGTTCATTTGCGAGATGAACGCTTTTATGATGCGTTCTGTGTTTATGCAGCGAGTGTCTGGCTGCGTTGCGCACAATCCATCCTTTCATTTCTCTTTATTTACGCATTTTTCCAAGATCCAACAGCGATCAAAGGATTTTATTTATTTGCCCCAACTTCAGCACCGGCTAAAAGTGCGCAGTGTGGCCGTCTACTTATTACAGCTTCCTATAATTGCAGGAGGCATTGCAAGTTATCAGTGATCTTGTGGTGGGTTGTTCATAGTGCTGGTAAAACTGATGAATTCCAGTCGATCAAGGTAAATCGAAAGCCACGAACACGTTTTTTTTGTAATTAAATAAGTACGCAAATGACTTTTAATACGACAGTAACAAGTAAGTACGTAATACTTTGTAATGCATACTTACTTGTTACTAGGGCACCTTTTTAATTTTATGCAGTATTCTCAACCAAATTTAAGAGATGAAACAAAATTCGCTTTCTTTCCAACACAAAAGTAATCAGCATGGCGATTGGCACCTACATCCTGGTCGCGCACCTCTTATGTCTGTGCATTTTTGGTTGCCCTGTTGCGACATGGCTGAGCCGGGAAGAAAGTATGTAAGTAGCATAGAAATTTTTGGGAGCAACAGCAACAGAATAGGTAAATGTCTTAGCCAAAAATACGAGCCGGTCTCACAAAAAAGCCGCGATTATACCAAGGAGATCGACTCTATAAACAGTTCAACGGGTTTGCACTATCACGGCGAAACTGATGCTGTCCGTTGAAGATCGTCCGGGGCATACGAAAAACGGCAAAAGCATTCGGCTGACGGTTATCCCGCTCGGACAGTTTTACCGGTTACAGGTGCAGCACGCTTGGTGGCACCGCCTTGGTGCAGACATTCAAGAATTATATAACCCAGAAATACAACGGTATTTGTTTTTTTAAGTTTTGGAGCGACTAGACGCTGCGCTATCGGAAAATCCGAACAGGACGGTATATCTAGGCAACCCGTTCCATCCTTCCCCATCTCCGCGTAACCCACTGTGCAGAGCCGTATTAATTAAGGCAGCAGAGAGGGCGCCGGTGATGTTCGATTGCCATGATAACCGTACTACACATCCGCGCACTCTTAACGACAGCAGCTATCTGGCGGTGCGATGGAACGGAAGAGAGTACACCCGTTTTAAAAACCGGTCCGAAATTCTACACAGCGGCACCTCTTGCGGGTGCACCAACACCACTTCAGCTTCCATTGACTTCCATGTTGACGAGCCCAACTCCACATTCGGCAGTATCACGTTAAAGAATTTCAGTCACGCCAGTACCGGTGAATTCGAGTGCGTGTGGTACCGCGGCCCTGATGTCTTCATCAGTCAGCGTTATTTGATCAGTGTGATGTTCACCGCTGAACAGTTCTTTACTCCGCCCATGCAGAATGCCATCGCCAAGGTTGGCGAGCGCGCTGAACTGCGCTGCCACGTGAAATTTGATAGGATGATTCGCGGTCTGGAAACGCGGATAATGTGGACCAGTGAGCACGACCTCCTACTGGCCCACGGCGTCAGTCGCCTGCGTCACCTGGTGCGCCATCGGAAGGGCGTAACATGGTGGCTGAACACCATGGACGATGCGTGCTCGGTTGCGCTGATTATTCCATCGGTGAAGCGGGAGGACGGCGGACGATATCGCTGCTGGTTCAGGGTGGACGATGTGCTGGAAGAGTGGCTGGTGCAAAGTGCTTTCGTTACGGTGACGGATTAGACCAGCTCACATGGTTGCAGGACTCACGGACTAACTGTTGCTTTGAATTCGCTTTAATTACCGCGCATTGTTGATCACTCTGCTTGGTCATACATAGAAGTATTGTTTTCTTGTCTGAAGACTTCGGCAGTGTACTGAACCACAACGCGACATACGATCAAAATTCATCGTAACATTGTGTTTGTTCGCTGAGTTTTGTTTCAACCACGACTCACCATTATCTTGCAACTTCAGCTTGCGTGAGAACCATCGGTTTCTAATTCCATAGCAGCAGTCGAACAAGCCACACAGCCTAAACTCCATACACCCGTAGCGAACCTGACTGGTGCATGGTCCTGTCCGCATTTGGACATCACTGTCTCCCGTTACTGCTCGCTAAAGTATGATTTCAAGCATCAGGATTTTGGCTGAAAAGTGTTGAGTCAGTCAGATGGTCCAGACGTGAAAGGAGCTAAGGTAAGTACTGTAACTCATTCGGAAGATTAAAGGAATTTCAACCATAAATAAATTCCGATGATACGAAGAAAAAGCGGCCTTCAGAGGGTAGTACGTTTGGTCGTTTTTTTGTGATTGTTGACCTTAACTCTTTTTTATTCAGAACTGTAAAACGACAGAGCCAATTTGAAACTTTGCATCTATCTGTAAAGCTAGAAACATGAACAGAATGCTGTGTGAGCGGGGGTTCACTAGCGTTCACGTCCGCAACGCTGCGCCACCTGGATTACGTGTCTGTGTTGTGTCTCGCTTCTGATTGGCTTGAGTTATGTTAGTGGGCGCGGCATAGCACGTGCTGCACTGTGTAGAATTGGCTCTACGATTGACGATCGAGCTGCGCCGATCATTATCAGTTGATTTCTGTTGTGCAGATTTTCAATATTATTAAAAGTCAGCTATTAGCGGTGCGACGTTTCGCGATTCCGCGTAGTTCGCTATACTTATCGCATAGCTCACTCCACGGGATCTATTCCGTTTAGGTCGCCGTATCTGGATCACAGTTGGATCTAGCATTAGAGCTGCTTCGGATGGATTTAATCACTAATCCGGGTTTTTGTTCAGAGCTCGTTGCGCTGCTGAAATGACGAGAGAGCAAACGCACGGCTCACGCGATTTAATGACGTTTTGTATGCGACGATCACTGACTGGTTCGTGACGAAGGAAAAGATTTGATGATGCATTTACAGAGTCGGAGTCTTTTTGCGTAATGAATGCCCATTTCGGTTAATAGTAATTTCTATACTGCTGACTTCTGGTTTGTAGCTCCCCTTTGAACGGATTGTGTTTGCTGCATTGAAATTCGTTGGGGCAGTTCTGAGCTGCAAGTCTGCGTTTCTGGATAAAATTTCTAAAACTTTGCCAGCCATGCCTAGTGGAATGAAGCAGGATACCGCCGTATACATTGTGGGCACTGATCAGCGGATGCGTTTCGGACACGTCGTGGACGTGGCGGAAGGTGGCCTCTTCGTGGATCTGCTCTGCCCGAATCGCCGGCGTGAATTTGTGCCTTTCGGCAGAATCTTCTTTCCACGTCCAGTGCATTTAGCGCCTCTGGACAAACTGTATGATCCACAACGGTCCCCCGTCCAGGTGGAAGTACTGGTGCCGGAGACGCCAGTGGGTCCGTGGATCTGGCAGCCGGGTGAAATGCGCTGTGTAGGACGCAAGAAGACCCTGTGCGAAGCTGCCGTTGTTAACTGGCAGAGTCTGGACGGCGGAGTTCCGTGCTCCGACATCGTCCCCATGCAACGCATTCGCCTAGTGCGTAACAGCAATAATTATGACGTCCTACCGTGCGAAGAGGTTCCCCCCGGAGCTTTTATCCGGCTCACTGTGGACCTGGGTCAGGAATTTTGCTCCCTGCCAATGAAAGAAGCCACGGCTCTCATCGAGCGGTTGAACGGACTCCGCCTGTCAACCCTCTCCCCAGTTTATGTGGTGGGCATCGCGGACGGCAAGTTGCAGTACGAGTACATCTGCAACCACGGCCAGAAAGAAAAACGGGCGTTGGCAGTTGGCGGTAATTTGTTGGTAAGAAAAAAGAACTTGATTGTTCCATGGCAAGCGTTTATGGACTTTGTCACCGTAGTCTGTATTTAACGGTTTTCATTTTAGGGAAAACTTGAAAGGTCCCACAAGGGATTCCTGACGACGATCAAGTCTCTTCAAGATAACGAGGCTGTGACCACCGATAAGCGCAAAGCATGGATGGCGCTGCCGTGCGAATTGTGGCAGGAGGTCTTTTCCTGCTTGGACACTTTGGAACAGACGAAGCTGCGCACTGTTTGCGCCATCTGGAACCGAATCCTGGATACACCACCGCTGCGTTCTACTGTCGTCATCTGCAACAGGAACCCCAGTTGTCAACTTGCCGATTTTCTCTGCTTGGCGACGGTGTACAATTGCCTTAGTCCCGGCACGCAATGCGCTGTCATAAATGTTCGCAGAGGATCTTATTCGCGGAGCGACTCCGACGCGATGAAAGTATGCGACATGATCCAGTATGTGGCTGAACAGCATCCCGGCGTCCGGCTGCGGATAATCCATCTGTACGGCGTCCCGCTGAACTGGCTGATTGACATTAACCGTACTATCGTTACCGCGGACGTAGTTGGATGTGGTATGCATCCGGCTGATCGTAATCGACACAACTGGCTGCCGGATTTCATTGCCACGTGCCGCAGTCTGCCGTGCGATGCCATCCAGATGACGAACTGTCGAGTTACACTGGCCTGCAAGCTGCACTGTGTGGAGAAAGACACCTATCTCGTCACGGAGTGGCAGATCAACGTCGGCACCGCGCGATTGCAGCTGAGGGATGGCTTCGAGTGCGCGTTGTGGGAAGCGTTGGAGGCAGCGCTCGGGATGCCCAGTGACCCGCAGTGGTCAAAACTCGCTGCTGTTAAAGACGCTGAAATGGAAGTAGCCTTCCGCAAGGTACACCAACGGCCGCTATGCTGTTCTAGTAGTGTCTCATCTTTCATTCCATTCTACACTGGAAAACCACTGAGCCGTATGTTCTTGCAGATCCTGTGTCTGGTGCAGTCGGGCGATCCCCGTCCGTCCTCGCATTACCGCGGGAAGCGGTGGTGTGTGGATGGTCTGCAAGATTTGCAGTGGAAGAAACTGTCGCGTATTACTTTGCACTTGCTCGTGCAACTGAAAAAGCGTACTTTTAAGATGCGTTGACTTTAAAGCCCATAACGTGAGGTCCTGCACAAATACAACCCAACTCGACGTGCCAGTGGATCATTTGAGACATTGTCCTGTGTCGGTTAGGTTGTGATTAGCGTACCCCCTTATTAATAGTAATCATTAGAAGGTTTAAAAAGCTGCGTAAGCACTAAGGATGTGATTTTTCGTATGTTCTGATTTTTAATTCGTTTCCTGTAGCTCTTTCCTCTTTGGGTACGTACTTAGTTCACTTCATCCGCTCTCTCCTCTCTCTTACCAAATGCGCTGTATTACCGACTTTTTATTTGAAATAAAACATTCCTTGCTTGTCTGATTATCTGATGCTAGCATAATCTCCATAAACTTCAAGCCATACTCTAGTTTACGTTCGCTTACAGAGCATAGTTAGTTGCTTCGCTTTATTGCTCGTAAATTTCTAGACGCCTTATAAGTTATACTGTAGTACGCATGGGCTTCCTAAAACACAAAAATACATTTAGCTAAAACGATTTTCTCTGATCTTTGTTCATATTACTAAAATCAATGCTAATTATTAAATTCTTACCTTATACGCGTAGAATCGAACATTCGAAACAGGCGGTCTCCGTTTGAAACCCGTAATTCCCAGTAGTAAAACAGGAATTGCCACACAGGCACTCAAATACATTTTCATCCGTCAGCGTAGCCATACAGTAGCACTTTATTAAGTCGAGCCAAAGTAGGAAAAATAAAGTTATAAAAATTTCCGTATATATTTCTTTCACGTTTATGAGCCGAATTTTTATAAAGGACAATTAGCGTGGTAATTGATGTTAAATTCCAGGTGGCCGCTGTTTGGCCACCCAGCTCTCCCAGACGGAGCTGCCGTCTGCCTGACCTATTTCTGTTTTCCGCTCTGCCTGTTTGCACATGGGCGCTATCTACTTCCGTAACGTCTAACAGTTTTTAATTCTCAACTGCCTGATTCATTTCAGATTTGTCATTCGAGCTCTCTCGCGTTAATCGCTGATGTTTAATCGCAGATTTGGATAGTTAAATTTCTCAAGCTGTAAACATCCCCCTGACTGCCAGCCTTTCTTAATCCCCGAGACCATAGCGAGCAGCTCCATCCCTGCCCTGCACGATCTATCCGTACTGAAGGACTCTGCCTTTTTCCCTCTCTATTCGTATTTTCCCTGTTTCCGAAGTCCTCTAACATGACTAAGAGAAGAGAAAATGCGCAACAGGCGGCTGCAGCAGCAAGGATACCACAGACAAGAGCAAAGCGGACAGCTTCGACTAAAAACAACCCGCCACGGCTACCTCCGCACCCAGTGCTGCGGAGGTTCCCGAGCCGACGCTACAGACAGTGGTGCAACAGCAGCAGAAGCAGCAAGAACAAACAAAATCGACAAACTGATCACGATCATGGAGCGGCAGGTCTTACCAACACCTACAGACCCGGCACCAAGCATACCGGCGCCCCCGGCGCCAGGCTTATCGGCGCCCCCGCAGCCGGGACCACCCGTGCCACCGCCGCAGCTGCAAATCCAGATCGGCGATGATCTCGGCCGAATCGTACATCAATCCGGGGACCACGGCGTGGAGGTCACCCGTAAACGGAAGCGCGAACCCAAAAGAGGTAAGCGAAGCAGCTCCCAGTCTTCTCTTAGCAGCGAGTCATCGGTTGGGTCCCCGCTACGCCTCGCCGACAGCCGCTTCGGTGGCCGCGCCGACGTGTTCAGTCGCCTGGGACCCATGCCATCCGCTAGCCGCCCAGGCCCGTTTCGTCCTTATTTTCGATCTGTTTCCAAGAAACTGCAGAAGAAGCTCCTGGACCTCACCGAATACTTCGAACTTGATCTGCTGCTCCCTAAGAACTGCGTCGAGAAGCCAAAGAAACTGGACGCAAAGATGGTTTTCGTCAACGGAAAGGTTACGATCAAGCCTGAAGACGGAAAAAGTAAAGATTGATTCCTACTCATCGTGGATGCGCGCCTTCACGGTTTTTGCCAGTACCGCTCCCACGTAGCGCCAGAACTGGGTCCCCGGTACTTTAAGTGCATGGATCTGATTGCATCATACGTCGACCGTGAAGTTCCGACCGCCAACTGGCTCGGGTATGATCGTCAGTTTCGCGCGCACATGATGGGTCACCCTTATGATTTCGACCAATGGACACACCAGCACGAGGACACCTATATCGACTGCATTCAAAATGCAGCGGGTAACGGCGGCGAGTTCGCTGCGAAACCGGAGAAGGAGGAAAAACCGCGCCCTGAAAGACGGGAGACGAGCGATGCCGGAACTGCGGAGAAGTTGGCCACTACATTAACAACTGCTCCGCGCCCAGAAAGGGCCAGCCCCGGATACGGGCAGCCCTTTCGGCAGGCAACCGCCGCAGACGGGGAAATCTGCCGGAACTACAAGTATGGTAGCTGCCAAACACCGTGTCGCGCCTGTAGGATCCACGCATGCGCCAGCTGCGGGGACCGCCAGCACCGGACGGCTACCTGTCCAAAACTCGACAAGTAGGTGGGCGACAGTGCCGGCAAGAGCCACGACGCCGCTTCGAGCCGACGCCTTCACCAAACTGCTCGCCCGCCATCCGGACCCTTCGTTATGCCTATTCATTGCAACTTCACTTACGGACGGCTGCACCGTCTACTATCACGGACCCCAGAAATCACGGGCAACGCCGAATGCCGCCACTGCTCGCAAAAAGCACCACGCGGTTACCGCCAGCATCCGCAAAGAATTGGATGCCGGTCACACAATCGGGCCATTTCCCTCCCCACCGCTGCCGTACTTTGTCTGCAACGCCCTGGGCGCTCGAATAAAGAAAGACGGCAGTATCCGGAATATTCTGGATTTGTCGCAGCAGCACGGCGACAGCGTGAACGATTATATCGACATCACGCAGCTTCGCTCGAGTACTGTACCGTAGACCACGCTGTTTCCATCTTGACAGAACTCGGGAGAGGTGCGCTGATGGCGAAGATGGATGTAAAAGCCGCCTTCCGACTGACCCCTGTACGCCCGGCGGAGTGGAACCTCCTCGGATACCCGTGGAACGGCGAGTTTTTCTTCGATGTCGTGCTACCCTTTGGATGCAGGGCGTCTTCGTATGTGTTTGAGCTGTTTGCCAGCGCAATTCACTGGTTCGTGTCAGATGTGACCGGTCTCAACAGTATGCTACACTACGTCGACGACTATCTGTTCCTGGGCAAACCAGGAAGCAACCAGTGTAGCATATTAATGGACGCCATGACCCAGACGTGCAGTGAGCTTGGGGTCCCCTTGGCGCATGACAAGACCGAGGGGCCCGCGACTCAGCTGACGTTCCTGGGCATTCGGCTGTACTCGGTCCGTCAGACACTCAGCCTGCCCGACGACAAAAGACGAAGCACTGAAGATGCACTAACAGAATGGAGCAGCCGTGATCACTGCACGAAACAACAGCTCCAAAGATTGATCGGGAAACTCACTTTTGCAACCAAGTGCATCCCAGCAAGCCGGCTGTTCACTCGGCGGATGATCGCTCTCCTTGCGGACAACCGTAACAAAAGATTGATTGCCGTCAGCGCCGAATTCCGGAAAGACCTCGCATGGTGGAGGGAGTTTCTCCCAGCCTGGAACGGTACGGCCTCTTTCATTCACCCGGACTGGACGCGAGCAGACGTACTCAGCCTGTACACAGATGCCTCTGCCCTATGGTACTCAAGGACTCGGGGCGTTCTACCAAGGGTCATGGTTTCAGCTTCGTTGGCCACAGTGGATTCTTCTGCAAAAGCCATGCATCGAGTATTTAGAATTGATCCCCATACTTCTCAGTCTAATTGTTTGGGGCTCGAGGTTGCGCGGAAAGAGAGTCATCTTCCACTGTGATAATGAAGGCGCCACGCTGGTATGGGAAAACCTGCGTTCGGCCAACAGCGGCGTATTGGACATCATGCGTCGCATGCTGGCAGCGGCCGCTTCTGCTAACATGACTTTCACGCTCAAGCACATACGCGGCATTAACAACCCGATCGCTGACTCTCTCTCTCTCGTTTTCAGCACCACAGATTTCGGATGCTCGCACCAGCAGCGTTGGAGCAACCGGATCCATGCCCGGACATTTTCCCGCAGCTACTGCAAACTTACGCCGGTCAATTAACCTCGACCGGCTGCTAAGCGCCCGCGTCGCCGAGTCCACAAGGAAGACGTACGACGCGGCATTCAACCAGTTTGAAGCGCTTTGTGACCTCCGATCGGTCAGCTGCCTGCCAGCATTAGCGGACACCGTTGCCGAATACGTCGCTCACCAGTTCACCACAAAGAAATCGTTCCGCACCGTGACAGTGTACCTCGCCGGCATACATAACCGCCATCGCGAAGCGGATGTGAGATCGCCCACAGATCACGACCTAGTGGTGCGGGCACTGCAAGGCTACCGACACCTGGCTGCCCCGCGCCCGGACACACGCCAGCCAGTGACCCTGCAGACACTGCGGCGCCTGAAACACAACCTTCGCCGAATTGGAATTTACCCTTACGAACAGTCTCTACTGTGGGCCGTCTTCACCATGCTGTACTTCGGTTTCCTACGTATCGGCGAAGTGAGCAGCCCACGGGAAAATCGATGCGACCATCGGCACACTCTCATTCCTGAAGACTTGACGGACTGCGGAAACCAAGTCGTCGTGCGCCTTAAGATTACCAAGACCGACCAAGCCGGGCAAGGCTGCACCGTAGCGCTGGCGGCGACCGGCCGGTCGGTGTGTCCCGTGCAGGCTTACCGGAAGTACCTTGCTCATACGCAGTTCACGTTGCCGGCTGGAAGGTGGCCTCTCTTCGTTCACCAAGACGGCCGCTTCCTTACCAGGCGTTCAGTTAAAGCCTCACTTCACCGCCTCCTAGAGGGGCACCCGGATCAGCACCGGATTCACACACACAGCTTCCGGATCGGCGCCGCGACCACCGCCGCTAGCAATAACGTACCAGACCGCCTGATCCAGCGCGCTGCGAGATGGAAAAGCAGCTGCTACGCACGCTACATCCGCAATGATGGCCCAGTAGCGGTCAACCACTACCACGGAGGGTAGTTGGTTTTTTGGGGGCAGTCGGGCATAGAAGGGATGTCGGAAACTCGTGGTGGTGAGGTCCGCCTGCACCGACTCCGATTTCGCACTTGCCCCGATACGCCGACCTGCTCGCTCTCAGATACCGCAACATGGCGCTTGTTTCCATATTACCAGCAAAGATGTACTGTTAGCGGCATACCGAATTTAACTTTAGTTTTTCGTACTTTGGCTCGACTTAAAAAAGT